TGCTATGTATTCATTGTCTTTAAAGTGCTTTGAGTATTACATTGCTGAGCTAGCACCAACTGATGCAATAGCAGCACCAGACATGCACATGCTCACAGGAATAAAGCCAAACCCTGCCAGCAGCCTGAAATGGGAATAGCTTCATCAAGGCCCTGACTTGAGACCATCCACTTTACCTTTTGCTCTGTAGAAGCATCCTCGGAGGTCAGCCACACTAGGGCAAGCCCTGTGGTATTGAACAGCAAAGCTGTGACAATCATTTGACATTCTTCATTGTTAGAAGACATAGATTAATTTTAAAATATGTTTTTGTTCTAAAATCACTTGTCTTTTCCTTATTTTACCTGAAGTGCTAGAAGCTTAAACTTTACATGATTACAGTTGCATCACCAGGTTTTGTCCATCACCTTTTTGTATTCACACAACTTCATTGCTGGGATCAACACTTCTGTTTCATCCTTCAGAAGGCCCCTATGGTAATTTATAGTACTACAATAAATATAAAAGCTGTTATGTCCCCATATGGGACAGGGGCTACTGCATCCTACCATGAAGGTAGAAATAGGCTGAATGCTACTTTAACAGAAATATACTGGAATTTCTCATCAGTCAATTGAAATAAATTTAGCTTTATTCTGTAACAAAATGAAACATTCATAAGGCTTCCCATAAAAAGCTCAATGTTTTGTTTTTCCAAAGTGCAAAAACAAATTAATAAATGAAACATTTCACAGCATTTCAGTAGAGTTACATATTATTGCAACTTGTATTGGCAAATATTGTAGGGAACAATATGATTTAAAATATTATAACCCACATATTTTTTAAACTGAATTTTTAACTTCAAACTGACAGCACTACTATTTTTCAAAGACAGCATCGCAAACATTTTTGAAGCCTTGGACCACCTCTGCTCTTGAGCACCACAGCAGACCTTAAAGCTGCTCATGAACAAAGCAACCACCTGCCAATTCTGGTCTCCATAAGGAGTCCAGGGAAAGACTTCGATTTATGTTAAAAGGTAATGTGGAATTCAGAGTCAGTGTTGGGACTACAAAACCATAAACACTGAGCCTACAGTATTTACACAGCTGCAAGTTCAGGTCCAACTTTTTACAAGCTTACTTTAAACAAAGAGAACACTGATGGGATCTGGCTGTCATCCTGAGACAAAGTATATCACTTAAGATCTTTCAAATTGATACTATCTAGAACACAGTAAAAGTACTGCATTTTTATGCTGTTAACAGGAGGGAAACAAAATGCTTGTCTGTCAGGTAGTTTCCTCCTTCCTGTGAAGAGCACACAAAAAATTTGGTTCATTGAAAAATTGTTACAGTTCTACAAATTGAAACATGTCTTTTGATCTCCTGTCCTCAGCATACTATGGCATTTGCAGTTCTTGAATATGCATTGAAGACACTGTGTTAGCATAAGACAAATGAAGAGCTCTTCCAGGAGAGATGCGACTGCAGCCGTTTCAGCTTAAAGGGCACAAGGGCCTTACAGGAAGGGAACACCTCCTCTGCTCACACGTGCTGCATTCATGCACACGGAACTTTCCAGCACACTCCAGCACCTGTAACAACGAAGTCTTAAATAAGACAAGCACACAACAGTACGAAACAGTATGCCTGTTGCAATAGTTTAATACAACAGGTCTTTGGAATACAGGGACTCTATGTAAGCCAAGGTATGCTCCTGTATTATTCTGAAAGAACTTTCCAAGAGCAGCTGAACAGGGTGTCCTTACTGCCAAACAGGGAACCCTGAGGTGGTGAAATTTCTGAACTGAGTACACTGGTGTTCAGCTGTTCTGTCCTTCCTTCACTGAAATTCTCTGGTTTTCCTATTTTGCTTTACATAGGAAAGCAAAGCAGAGCTTCTACTAGCATACATTTACAAGTTCAATCTCATTTCTCCCTGCAAGTGCCAAAGCCTTCCTAATAGCTCTCCTTAGGCAAGTGTTCACCGCCAAATTAAAATGAATCAATGACGACAAGTTAGTAGAATATATTTTCGTTTCAGCAAAGAACCACGTAATTTTTTAGGCCCAATTTCTTTTTATTAATAATATAAGGTTCTATAATCTCTTAACATTACAACTCAAATTTTACAGTTAATCTCACACTATAATGACAAACACCGTTTGGCTTTATTTGCAGAAAGTTAAATTACAGCCTTGATAAACATACATTTCCAAGATTGAGAAGCAATTTGTGTTTTCTGAATTTCAGTGCTAATGTATCCCTGCCTTTGAAACGGGTTAATTAACATTGCTAAGGAAGAACTATTTGGCCTGGCCTCTGTTAACAGCCGTAAGGCAAACATGACATCTCTAACTCAACCAATATAGAGTCAAGTCAAGAAGAGACATGTTTTAGTTTGACTGCAAGATTTAGAACCTGGATAAAGTTTAACAGATTTTCTTCTTTCCCCTCAAAAACTTTCTAAAAAGTCTCACTAATGTTAACAGGTTCTGCAGTCAAGCCATACTCTGCACCTTTCCTCCTTCAAAGAAAGGAGATGCTGTGTAATTGGAAGTCATGACAAGCTTAGTTAAAACTGCTTGTAACTTATACATGGCCAAAATAGTCAAAGCAAATGAAAAAGTAATGTGTTACACCAAGATACTTCATCTCTGAACAGGCTGCAGCTAGGGGAAGTTAAGTCTTCAGAAAGAAAGTAAGGAACACAGAAGGAAGAATAGTGGAAGACTTCAGTATCAGAGAAGGGAAGATTTCTTTTAAATGGGTAATGATCTGTGTGCGTGTCTCTAGGTCTCCCAAACTTGCACTAAGTTTTTCTCCATTTTCATTAGGAATTTAAATGTGAAATTAAAGACAGTCAGTAATACATGCATTTCAACCACAGTTTCACTAATCTCTGGCCAGTAGCTAAATATTTTTCTATCTTATGAAAACAGCAATATAGTGGCCAATTGGAAAAAAAAAAAAAAAAACATTACATTTGTAGTTAGTCTCCTCCTCAGAGCCATCCAGTGACTACATTGCTTGGGAGCCTTACAACCTGTGATTCCACCTTCCCATAGGACAACTGACAAGCAGTACAAATTTTTACTGCATTTTAAATCACTTCAGAAGCCAGTGGCTACATAAAGGTTAGAGAGTATAAGTTTTTGACCATGTAATTTCAGCTATAGTCAGAAAATCAAGATTTGAGAAGGATGTTGTAGAACTGTGTTGTACTTTAGATCAAAACCCCAAGAGACCAGTACTACTGAGCTATGACTACTCGTTTAGTTCTGTTTGTGCTGTCATTCTGCAAAAAGGCTTCATGTACTTTCCTTCAAAACTGATTCTTCATATTTAGACTTTTATTGAGGCACATAAACACCCTTCATATTCACCAGCTCTTAGAAAGATCTCTATTTCGGAGTGATACAAGTCCTCAGCAAGGTGCCAGCTGCAGCCATGTAGTCACCGCCGTGCAGCACAGGAGATGAGGAAGCTCTCTGCATAAACATGTACAGATTCACTTCACCCAGACACCACCGTGTACTTAAGGAACACTTAACCACAGTGCAAAGACTCAGTTTCCTAAAACAGACTACACCTATTGTTTTGGTTGCTGCTGAAATAGGAACTCTGGGGGCCAAAACTAAATATACAGGAGTAGATTTTTTTAAATGTTGAAATGTTGAGAAACAAAGACCATTTGAAATAAATATAGCTGCATTGCACGTATCACATAAACATCCTGTTTTATGACTTGCAGATCAAAGTTTTCCTTGACTGCCTGGATTTTCAAGTGATGTTTTTGAGTGTTTGTGGTTTTGATCACTTTAGTTACAGAAATGAAATTTCATCTTTTACCAAGTCCGAACTTGTCTGATATGAAGTATTTTTCAAGCATCTGATTAGGCAGTATTCCAAAATACTTTAAAAACAAATGCAATTTTATCTTTTCTCCTCATTAATGGCACTAACAGTACAAAAGGCATCCAAACTGACACTACAGAGCTGTAAAGCAGTTGGCTAGAGAGACAGTGTCCTCAAAGGATAGTCTGGATTTTTTCTATCCTATGCAATCATATGTATTAATTATCAAAAAGTTGGGTAATTTGCTTTAAGAAAAAAATCCACCTTAAAAATGGATCATGAGTATTGACAAACACTTTTAGTTTTACTAATTAAGATTCAAGTTTCAATGTAAAAATGCTTACTCTCATACAATACTGATCAATAAAACATTTAATTTTCTTCAAGTCCAATGGACAATTAAAATTGTGGCTACTAGTGAAGTAAATAAATTACCCATAAAGGCCATAAGAAACTATACAAATCTCACTTTTAGGATGATAGCATCTTCTCCACTTAGGTGTTTTAGTAAATTGTTGAGACTGTTTCAAAAGACAGTGCTGGGCAGTTTCATTTGAATAGCCAAAAAATTTTTACTGAAAAAGATATTTTGCATCTCTGCAAAACAAACGAAACGTGAGCAAACCATACACACTAGGACTGAAGTACAGATGAAAGCAAAGTTTTGTTACAAACCTGTTTTCAACACAGTGAGAAATGTCCATTATATAAAACTTATAGTGACTGACCTACAATTAAGATTATCCCAGCAATGCAAATACAACTCAGAACAGCTCAGTTGTGTAAGGTTTTCCAGTAGTAGTACAGTGGGAAACTATAGAGTCCTTAGAAGTAGTTTGACATGCATTATCTCTTTTGATCAAAGCCTACATTTGCACTTTAAGCATTCACTGGTTACAAGTCTGTTAATCCTTCCGTACAGTGATGTACTCCTTGGTGTTCTCTCATCTGTCTCTTAGCAGCTTTCCTTTAGCAAGAGGCTGACCTGAGCAGCTGCTTCTGTAGAAAATATTGTTGTCAGTCTTTTTTCTCCTCACAGGAAATGCTTTTGTAAGAAATTATCCAGCACCGAAAATATTGTCAGCTATATTGCCAAACAAACTTGGAAAACCAAGTCTGTGCTTCCTTTTGTGCCCAGTGGGTTGGTTAAGAGAACTGTAAGTAAAAATCCATAAACATTAACAGTGATTTTGCACGTTATGGAGGGAAGGGGAAGGGAGTGGCAAAAAAAATCAATTAGTTACTAGTTTTTAAAGTTTAGGCTATGTTATATTTGATTACTGGGATATCAATACAATGAAAGTGGAGGAATTTCAAGAGTAATTTTGAAGGAGTTTTAGTACATCATGTTGTGCAGGGCTTTATAAAAGGTTTTTGTTTCCAAAGATATTATTGGGGTCCACATATTCCTTAACAGATCTCAGCATTCCCAGGCCAACATCAGAGATGCTCTCCTTCATCCAGCGCTTCCGCAACTTGCCTACTGGAAAAACAAAAACAAAGTGTTTCAATATATGGCAGGATTCTAGGAGCCAATCAATCTTATGACCATGAATGAATAAACACTGTGTGATAAATGCTTTTATTCAAAAATGAGAAATGTTTTGCTTTATTTGATTTATTGAGCCCACCAGACTATCAAGCTCATTAAGCTCAGCATACTCCCAGAGGAAGACTGTGTTCCACACTGTCTACTTTCTTTAGAAAGTATGAAATTTAGATGAAGTTTAGGATGAAATCACATGTTTTATTAAAACAGAGAATAAGTTTTAAAAAGCCAAATTAATTTTAAGTAGGAAACTGTAGAGATTACTAAAAAGCAGAACCCAACACCTTGATTGCTTTAAAGTGAAAACAACTCAATAATCAAACTTAAAACAGTATTGATTTAAATTGCAAGAAGTTGTTTTCTAAGGAGAAGGCTTAAAGTCTAGTTTTATACAAAATTTTTTTAAAATCTGTTTCATTCAACTTTTACACAGGCTGATAATTGCTCAGACCATTACACATGAGCTTACTTTCCCATGGAAAAAAAAAAGGATATTCACAACATAGACCAAATAAAGCAAAGCTGAAACACCAGCCATTTAAGAGCTCATTTCACTAAAGTCTCACTATAGTCCTGTTAAATGCCTGAGTGTTCACATACTAATTAACCAAGTCATCAACTCTGATTTAACAGATCATTCAAAATAAAGGCCATTTTTTTCATTAAACACACTATAGCATTTAACCTGTCAGCCTGAAACACAATCCATTTGTCAGTACCATGCGATATAGTAAAGGTTTGAGAGACAGATGCTTTAAGAGTATCTGAAGCTAAATTCAAGCCATCTTTTGTGCCCCGTTCTCAGGGTAACCATCAAACTGTCATCAGAATAATAAATTACAGGGACACCTCTGGAGAACAGAGTGTATTTGTTTATACCTTAAGGAATATGAGCTAGTCACAATGCCAACTGAAAAAGCAAATAATGTGAGAAAGAATGAAATTTGCAGTTTGCTGGAAAACAACTATTAGCAGCATGTGTGTCAAGAGCAAAGATCATAACTGAAGGACAAAAAAAAATTGTCATGTGACAAGAAGAGTGGTTGCATTTTGCAGAGTAGCTCAAGAACAAAATCTCATCTGTAAATACACCATCACCACAATTTGTCTGACTGAGCAAGTTGATGCAGTTGAAATTTAGCTGGGGAAACTTTAATACTCCTGCTACCAAAAAAAAAAAAAAAAAACCATCACAGATGTGGCTCAGCCGTCACCTCAAGTCGCTCACACTGGGCCTTACAGAAGCAGCTGAAGAACAGTCATTACCATTCTCAACGTTATCTGTAATATAGTTTCACTGAATGTGTCCTGTGGTTATGGATGTAATTGTCCTGAAAAGACCGCAAACAACTGCTCCAACAAGATGGAGCACATTAGAATCACAGCAGGATGCCCAACAGCTAGCATGCCTGCCTCTTTTACACCTCCAGTAATAATGCAATTCCACAAGGAACTGAACCACTGCCTGAGCAGCACCAAACAGTTGTTGCATATTTAATGAAGTCGCTCACCAAGTGCTGGAAAACAGAAGGTGCTTGGAGTGCATCATTAGTTCTGTCAAAGTGATAATTTACACATCTATCTTGTCAAATTTTCTATGGTTTATACTTTTGCAATAATAAATCTAACATACATTTGATTAGTGAACTGGAAAGAAAAAAGCTGTATTAGTTACCAGCAGTTCTTCACAAACATGTTTGATGAAAAAAAATTTAACCCCTTGATATCAGTAGGTTGAGCTCCTGCTCCTACTGTTCATGTCAGTAAGATTATACATGGATTTTTCAGATACTCAAGTTTTCATATTAGAGTTAAAAAGCACTGAAGCTCTTAATTATCAGCTGGTCCATCCGATTAAATGGAAAATAGACCAAAGGGAGGAAAAGTCTGTGAAGATGACAGCACCACTTAGGAAAACAATCTTCGTATTTGTTTCACTTCAGGTTAGTGCTGTCCTAGAAGTATTCTGCTCCTCCTCTGTAAGATGATCCCATTAGCCTCAAGGATGAGAAGGAAAAAAGGAGAAAGAAAATGCCACAATAGATGTTACCATGAATGTAAAAATAACTGCAAGTGGCATTTAAGTTGCTTAACTCCACTCTAAGCCTAGCCAAACAGCTTGGGGCTCAAAGCTTAACTTCCCCAATATTAAAAGGTCTCAGTTAAGCCTGATCTCATCATGGACTAGAGAAAAACACCGTTTCTTTTCTAGCCTAGAGAAAGTAGACCTCAGTTTCAGGCCTAAATGATGCCATTAATTTAGAACTGACATGAGGCAGTGCACAGAACCAGACTTTATCCAAGCATCTACCAATTATGGGCTCTCAGCCCAGTGTACTTTTCTCACTTAAAAAATGAAATCAAATTCCCCTGATTCTATATCCTACATCATTACTAAAGGTTCTCAAATCAGCATAATGTTGTACAATCAATTTGTAGTAGCTTAACAAGTCACTATTTGTCAACTCAGCTAAGACACACACAAACCCTGTTGCCCTAATTGGAATTAAATACAGCCCTTCATTCCTGCATCTCCTTCCTAATCTTTCGTCTTAACTATCCAAGATGAAGTGTCACAATTAGTTTTCAAGTTGTATAAGTGGCAAGTGCCCTGTTCCTAACGTGTGCTGAGCAGTCTGATGCTTTAAAAAATCCCCTGTTCAACATCCAGAAGTTTTTAATCTAAGGCCCAGCCTATTACATAGATCACAAACACCCTCACATGACAGAGTCTCTACTTCACACAAAGTACTTCAAAACAGAAAGTCAAGAAGCTTGTTCAGTAGCAACTTTCAAAAGACAGTCCAACACCAATTTTATTTCTGCTGTGTTTCCAAGTTTTATCATTATAGTCCCTGTATGAAAGAAAAACACGTGAGCTGGAAAAGCAACTTTTTCCCAGTTCTGATACATGCTGGTCCTGGCCTTAGTTGGTTTCATTAGAAAAGTTCTTCATGTTTCCATGGCCCTTTTGATCTGTTAGGGAATAATATACACTTTGGTAAAGTGAAACCATACTCTGCTGCTCCTGCAGAGCCCACCCTTTGCAAAAACCAACCAAGCAAACATGCACTTACATATTCTCTGTCAAAAATGGTAACAGTTTCACATGTGTATGGTTTTTCAAAGAGAAGTGCATGAGATGGACAACACACATGTGCTGGCCACAAGGAAGACAAAATGGGAATACAGCTCTCCAGGTTCATAAAGGTTATACTTGCTTATCTTTGAAAACACATCTGGATGGCTGGAGAAAGTCTGGCTGCTAAGGATAGAGCTAGAAAACAGCAGGCAGGAACTGGGTTTTGCACTTCCGGAGTACAAAGTACTAGGCACACAGAACAGTCTTGTAAGGAAAATTTCAATGTGGCTGATGGATCGCAGGACTAACTCATGCACACCAGATTACAGCAGTATGTGGTCCCAGTGGAAAGAGGCTCTAGTGGCACTCCACATGGCTCTAGACTTCCTCTGCTCCACTCATTTTAACATAGATGTAGTTATTACAGAACAATAGCTTTGCAAAAAGGAGAAGCAGTCATAAGGAGGATGGGGGTTTTTCCACCTGTTACTTGCTCTTCCTGAAGTTGGTTGTCTCTATGGAAAGCATCTCTCTGCTCCTAAAAATTGTTTAACAGGTTACTACTCTTCCAGAGAGAACTCCACAATACTGAGAAAGGTCAATGAATTAATCTAATGCTGCAGTAGTGTTGGAGCATATTGGACAAGTGTACTTGAGTCTACTACATAAGTAACAACATCACCGTAACATCTTGCACATTTTCACTTGGTATCTAAACTTAAGTACTTTCAAGTTCTGTGTTGGCAAATCATAAAGTCCTTTGTATGTATTTGGTGAAAAAGGCACTAAAGATGACTATTCTAGTAAGACTTTCAAGAGACCAAGAAGGAAAATACATCTGTTATGATATTGTTTCACAGGAGGTTACTCCTTGTCTGACAAGTGTCACAGTTTAAACTTACTCTAAAAAATAGGGCTTGCTCCACTGGTAAGACAAAGTACAATCAGTCTCCAGTGCTTGAAAGTAAGAGTACTTTTCCTGTCTAGAAAAAAAGAATGCATTCAATCCCCTCCCCGTAAGGGAACTGTATCACTCCAGATTTTGTGGTTTGTATGGGTTAATTACTGCAGCATATAGGTTAAGCCACAGCCTCCTAATGATGCCAAAAAATTGCAATGAACTGCAATGTCAACCATGCAATTGAATGCAAACAAGGCATAGGGGTTTTGTGGTGTGTTTGGCCTTTGTGGGTTTTGGTTTTTTTTTTTTTTCTTTTTTATTTTTTTTTTTCCTCCTCCCGTTTGTGTTTTTTTTTTTTTTTTTTTTGTTTGGTTGGGTTTTTTTATGGTTTGGGTTTTTATGTGTTGGTGTTTTTGTTGTGGTGTTGTTTTTTTTGGTTTTTTGTTTGTTTGTTTGTTTTTGGTTTTTTAATTTTTTTATTTTTATTTAGCTTCCCTATATAAACTGCCTGGAAATTGATGCTATACATAAACTTACAGAGCCTCAGTTACCTGGTTAACATTTATTTTAGCCAATCTGTCTAGAAAATGGAAGAAAAATAGTTCTATTATGCTAAATGGCTAAATGAGGGTATTTTCCTCAAACTCCTAAGTTTATAATTGTTTCCTTAAGTAGCCAATTTTAGTTAGAACATTCCCTGCAAAGAAAACAACCTATCAATTTTTTACACTGTTCCTTAGTTTTACACAGGTTCTTAGCTTGATAATACAGAAGGGATCAGGCCCAAATGCTGTACCCAAAAAGGTTTATAGTCGTATTTATACACCAGTTGTACCTACGGATACTTCCTCAGCACATTACTTCATGTATACAAAAAAGCATGTATTTTCTGAAAATAGAATTTAAGAATGCTGGGTATAGCACACCATACGGATGGTTTTAGGGCTTGCCCTAAATGATTAGAAAAATAGTTTACCAGAACTTAAGACTTGCATCTGCAAGGAATTACCATTTAGAAAGCAGCGTTAAGAATGACAGTTTCCTGAAGCTAACTGTGGCTTTAGCTACCCTCACTTACATGACACAAATGTAAAGGTAGTGGCCAGACAAGCAGAAGGCTCAAAGCTGTGCTCAAAGACACGTACTGTTCCTTTCCCAGTGCAGGACATACTAAAGGTAAGATGAGAACTGCAATCAAGACTGTATAATTTCATGTAGAAGTGGAGACAAGGAATGCTAAAACAAGAATAATTCCTGAATAGCTTTTGAAAAACTTGTACCAAGTCACAGATTCAGCATAACATTAGCTGAAAGGGACAAAGGCACAAGAAACCACTTCAAAATCACACAGTAGAAGCTATTTTCAAGCCCCTAAGCAGCTTTTCAAAGCACTTTGCTCACAACAAATTTAGCAAGAAAGAGACCCATCACATTTTGACAAGACTGCCAGGATCATAAAAGATCTGATAATTTCCTCTTAACATGATCAATTTCTGATACACTAGAAAATGGCTGAATTTCCCCTGCATAAGAAGAGGCTGATGAGCTATTTATTTTGGGTGTATTTTTATAGCAACACATACATCAGATTCTTCCTAAATTTAAAGTCTGTTCATTACATAATCCATAAACATTATCAAGTATTAAATGCTAACATTAAAGTAGGAAAGCCATTCCTGACACCAATGAAATTCAAATGTTTGAAAGTCAAAAGTGAGGAAACTTAAAAAAAAAAAGACAATTTGATTAAAAGAACAAAGTAATTCAAGTTGCAGTATCATAGAAATTATATCCCGATTTATAAGACACAAAGTCCAAATATTCTACCCAAGAATACAAGTAATTGTTACACTGAAAGGATAAACTCATTACACAGATGAATACATCTAGCTTTGCTACAGCTTCTCATGCCTGTGAGGTGCTTACTGTATGAGGCTGGCATTGATACATTTTTGCAATTTCTTTATTGGAATGTTGTTCTTACATATTGCAAGGCATGATCTTCAAAGTAATCCATTAACACATAAAAGTCATGCTTCTTTCTTAAAACTTGTAAGTCTCAAAAGTCATCAAGGGTAGGGGGATCTTCTCACAGCATTGCTACCTCTAGTGAGTCCTGACTAAAAGTTACAATATTTTTCATTAACCTGGAGGGATGGGAGGAAAAAAGAGATATTGTGATTAAAATAGAACTCCAAGGTATTACGAAGCTACTCTTCAAAAAATTAAAATAGGATGATTTCAGTGCTCACTGTAGATTGTGGCTATGTCTACCTGCAGGTAGAACTGCCCCAGACGTCAAGTAATCTAGAGCTTTACACATCTCAAGCTGTCATGTATGACCACTTCAAGGAGTGTAAGAAGACTGACTTAGACTTTGTCTCCTATAGCCTCAAGTCCCAGACTACATCTGTTTTCTTTGATACACAAAACCAGAGTTAAAATAGCTCCATTTATCACAGTGTGATTGTAGGCAGACAAATCAGCCTGTTTCCACATAGTGAAAACAACTGTTATTAATCACAATTACAAGACAAATACTAAAAGAAATTGCACCAGTATTTTCTGTTCTCCCACAAAACAGACCAGCCTTGGTAGTGCTAAGAGTCACAAGGCCTGAAGGTCAGTAAATAAAACGGGTACTATTAGGTTAATTCTCAGCAGCACATGTACTAAGCACTGGAAAAAAAAATGAATCTTGGATATCATACACAATGAACTGCCAGACAAACATTAAAAGCAGAAAATATTTACAAGTATAAGAGGCAGTCATGCATACAACAGGAGCATAAGAAGTCTAACAAAAGTTTTCCATATCTGTGGATTCAGAAAATTCAAGTGTGTAAGGGTTTGAAAATGCTACATAACTTTTTTCCCTTGTTCGACATATGCCGTGAGCAAGGTTTCATATGGTGAAGGCAAATATAGCCAAACGTGACAAGCTCCAGCTGCACACCAGTTAATGGATGGAATGCTCTTCACTGTAAAATACAGCTGCCACAGCAGGGGAGAGCACAACAGCACATCAAGGGGGTAATTCCACATCCCACGCGTAAGAACTGACCGGTCCGCTGCATCACCATATTACAAGATTTAATCAGATGACAGTAAGAGTATATTTTAAAATACTGAAACTGTTTTCACTCATGTTAGTTACCTACACATCTTCCAATATCCTAACCTTGCTAAAGCAGAGTCCATTTCAGTTTTTATCATAAACATAGATGCCTGAAAACAGCCCTAGCTAAAAGTTTCAAGTCCAGGAAGTCACCAACAGGTTTTAAAGCACAGCTTCTGCCCTTCAGTTTTCCCTCTGTACAGAGCTTTCCTAGAATTACAGAATTTTGCATCTAGTTTTAAACCATTAGACTTCCATTTTGCTCTTATTTCTGCCATCAGACAATACCAAGAGAGTAGACAAGATAAATGCCTTAGTCAGTTTCAAGAAGCTAGCTGCAGACCAAACTAATTTCACAGCAAGCCTCCCTGACAACTGAGTTTACAGCATTATATAAGACACATGCAATCAAATTAGGCTACCTGAATATCTGGAGAAAGCATATGTAAAGCATCAGGTATACAAAGCATTGCTCACACATGACACTGGTCTTAAACATGATAATAAAATAATTAAATAGCTTCCAAAGAGGTTAGTAACTCAGCACAAGTAGTTCCCAAAGTCCAAGAGGAAAGTGAATAATCAGAAGTTAGCAGACAGTAAGCCAGTAATATCAATCCTTACATAATATTATGCAACAAATGGTAGGTTGTAACATAGCCCTGTTTAAAGGCACTAGCTCTTTTACTGAAAGTATATTTGTAAGTGCTTTGCAATTAGGGCTGCCAGCATTCGCTTTCCTGCACGGGACACTGAACTGTCTTAAAAACTGTTAAACTCCCATTTGAAGTCTTTGTAACTGAACACATCTCTGCACAGGGTTCAGGAAAAGTTGCTTAACATAAACTGATGAGCGACATTTCCAGGTTCTCAGTCGGCCTGCCAGCAGAGTTCCTGTTAAAGGCTAGAAGCTAGTTCTCATAAGTACACCACCTGGTGGGACAACATCAAGCTAACCAGGTCCAGGGAAACCTCCCCAAAAGTCTGGCGAGGAGGTGAAAGTTTCTAGAAAGATTGCAAGGTCATTCCCCCTCCATCCAGTAATATCAGCTAATGCCTGTGACATATTTTTCAAAGTTCTATTACAAACTATATTAGGTACTCAATATTTAGCAGTATCAAAAAGTCTAACACTAGACTGAGAACATTACCTCCATGGTGATGTGACAGGCTTCCTCCATTGGCAAGTATTTCTTCTCTAGCAGCCCTCTAAATTGGGAAGATAAGGTATTTATTCAACAGCCAATGCACAAGATTTGTTTAGTGAAGAGCTTGCTATAGTACTCATTTATGTAGGTGGATGAGAAGTTTCAGAAGTAATTAGGGTATGCAGTACAGGTAAACAGTTTAGTTCAACTCTGCAGGTATATATAAGTGGGGATTTTTCAAACTAACATTATCAAAGCCAAAGCATTACACATGGAATTCATAATGGCATTCCAGATAAACTGTATTGGTATTCCATGGAATAGATACACAAATCTATTATCCCAGAACGGGATAGTGTGGATAACTTCTCCCTTACTGAAAATAAAGTAGCCTAATGGCTGGGATGGTCATCTTGAAGACAGACAAGTGTCTACTGAAAAGGAAATCACAAAGTTTGAAAACAGGCTCCCCAGAGTGATTTGAGATGCACATTCAGACCAGAGTTTAGACCCAGATATCCAAGCTTCTGGTCAATGAAGTGAAGTACTTTACAACTGACAACCTCTTTGTGTGTTTGTGGCAGAAAAGGTTTAGATTTTTATGTTAAGAAATATATGAACACTTTCAAGCTCTAGAAACTTCTCTCCCTTGCAGCTCCAATTATGAGTAGTTAAGACAGCAGAGAAGGTGTAACAAAAAGCTTTCCTAAGCACAGGCACTCAATGTTTCTTAATAAATGTGGGTTTTTTTAGGAATAATGTATATAACCATAGCTACACAGATTTTTTTTTTCAGTCTGCCACAGTGCACATACTTGGTTGGCAAACTCACTTAGGTTAAGTTAGGTTAGGTCAGGTCAAATTTAGTGACCTACAATGGAAGACATGGATTGGTCCCTTCCAATCCCCACCTATCATCCAGGTGATCACATTCCTAACTTACTCAAATGGTAATATCTAAGTATCAATAAAGCTTCATTAAATAACCACTGAACTGTTCCATTCCCCAATGCACAGAAGCCTCAGACCTTGTAGGTAAAACTCTGCATCCACTTGCCAAATTCACTACAAATTTCTAAGCAATTAGCATGAGAAGAATGATATCCTAGTTATAAACACACTATTCCTCCACAGTCCTATTGGCAGTTTTTTTCTGGTGCTGACGTTCAACCATGTGAACCCAAAAGGTAGGATGAAGAGCAGTTTGGCCAGTCCTTCTATGTCTAAAGTTTTTATCTCCAAAGTAATAGATATTAGTTTCCCTTAACTAGGTAAATATAACATTTCTAAGTGCTAAAGTAGAGTTACTCCAGAGGTTTTTGATAAATGTCAAAGCAGCTTACAAATGGTCTAACACAGCAGACTTAGACCAGCACTTACCTATACAACCAACCAACCACAGCACTCAGTTTTCTGAAATAGCATGAGAGACCCTCACACTGATTGTTCTTTACGTGAGAGTGCTCTATCCCAGGATGTGCTCAAGACAGAGCTGGAATGGGCCTTATGCAGCATGGTCTAGTAGGTGGTGTTCCTGCCCATGGCAAGGGTGTTGGAACTAGATCTTTAAGCTTCATTCCAACCCAAACCATTCTATGATTCTATAAGGCACTACCAATAGCTACAATCTCACTAGTTTTACCATGTTTTAAACCATTAAAGACTAGCTGAGTATTAAGTGAAAGAAATATCTTTTTAAATAGTAGAACTAAAGAAGTCTGGTTTCCCATGGATTTCAGCTTTATGGTTGATAGTTTGTCTTCTAACAACAAATTCCAGTTCAAGCTTTCCTGTGCTTTAGCCATAAGTATTCATTGACTGATGTCTAAAATTGTCACCTGGTAGTCTCTCCTCAGCTTGGTGCACTACTAGTGTGCACCTTTCCCTAGCTGCTAATATCAAAGCTTTACAAAGAGTGTTAAGAACTTTCTTGTAAAATTCAGTTAGCTTGCCCAACGGGCTTCAATATTACAGAACATCAGCTTTCCCCCCTCACCCTTAACTATTGTTTATACACATTACCTCAATTTGTTCATAGACATGAATAGGATCACTAATTCCTCTGTAGTTAAAGGCAAAGTAGAAGTAGACACATGCACCTGCATCATAAGTCTGTGTCACCCTGTTGAAGAGAACTGCATTACAAACAAAGCTTTATGGCATTAAGTCAGCTACTATGTGACATTACATAATTCATAATATTGTTCTAAAAGGGCAGCTTTTTTTTTTTATAGTTTTGTATGCTTCTTGCTCATACTTCATGAGTGACTCAATGCTACAACTGAGAATTGAAGCTCTTAAGTTGTTACTTTTGTCTATATGCATGGGAGTCAAGTGTAAGTGTCAAACTAATCAAGTGCTACTGATCTCTTTAATTACTTGCTCTTACAAGCAATCCACTTGGAGGTTAAAGAAGGAGGTCAAGATTACTATTGTTTGTAATATCACTGCTAGACACACTTTACCTACTAGCTAGCAAGTTTAATTACCTCTTCCTTCATTCTCTTACTAATCAAAGATTCAAAAATAAATTTAGGTTGTTGCATAGCTTACCTGCAAGTGGAAAGAGGAGCAAACTGAACCCCTTTTTCTTTGCATTCTCTTACTATCCTTTCCTTTACATTCCTACAAAGGTCCAAAACCCTGTAAGAAAAAACAGGTCAAAACATAATATCTTAGCCAATGATTTTATTCCACTTCCTAAAACACACAGCTTCAGCTTTGATAGATAATCTTTAAAAAGTATAATGTCATACCACAGAAGACTGTCTACCAGAACTGGTTTTAACTAGCTTAGATTTTGTTCTGATAAAGTCCAGAGGAGAGACAAAAATGATCAGAGGGCTGGAGCACCTCTCCTGTGAGGACAGGCTGAGGGAGTTAGGGTTGTTCATCCTGGAGAAGAGGAGGCTCCAGTGGGACCTTATAGCGACCTTCCAGTACCTGAGAGGGGCCTACAGGAAAGCAGGTGAGGGACTGTTCACAAGGGTTTGTAGTGACAGGACGAGGGGTAATGGCTTTAAGCTAGAAAAGGGGAGATTTAGGTTAGATGTTAGGAAAATGTTCTTCAGTACGAGGGTGACAGACCACTGGAATAGGTTGCCCAGACAGGTGGTGGAGACCCCATCCCTGAGGACATTCCAGATCAGGCTGGATGAGGCTCTGAGTAGCTTGATCTAGTTGGAGATGTCCTTGCTTATGGTAGGGTGATTGGACTAGACCTTTGGAGGTCCCTTCCAGCCCAGACATTCTATGATTCTATGACAGTCAAATGTTTCTCAACCATAGCTGAGAGATAAAATAAACTTAGAAAAAAGATCTTAACTTTGGGCAAAAGTTATCATTTTAGGTTTTTTCCCTGAATTACTGTGGAAAGAAAAAATACTTAAATGTATTTAAATAATTATTGTCTTCACTACAGACTTTTCTGTTTGAAATACACTGCTGATCCTACACATGACTGCTCATACAATACAGTTACTGTCACCACTGTCCAGCTCCCTAAACAGGGCAATTTTAAGTATTGAATTTGTTATAGTTTACAAAATCCTAATGTAATACACTAGCAACTTTTGCAAGAACACACAGGTGCAAGACTTGGGGCACATCAGGGAGCCTCCAATACACATAAGGCCTAAATTAAGTTCCCCCATGAGCAAGCATGAGTTAGGAATAATTTGAACATAATCAAGTACAAGTTTCAAGCAATTCCAAAGAATAATCACAGTTTACCTATCCCAAGGAACAGATGTCTCAAATGATTCTCCTATTACATAGTAATCCAGACCCAGGTCCTAATAAATAGAGAAAAGAAATTATCAGTAACATTCAGCAACAACATCTGGGATTCCAGTATGTGCTACATAGCTGACAGTTGAACAACTTCAGAGTGAGAAAAACAAAGTCTATTCTGCAAAAGCATCCATCTGTCCCAGTGACATTAGTTTATCATTATGAAAATAGGGTAGCTCTTCAAAGACACAGATGAGAAACATTTTGATGCCATGGGTATAGTGAGACAACTTTGTCAGACTGTCAGTCTGACTACACTAATAAAATATTTGTATCACTACAGCATCAAGCCAAGAGCTCCACTGTGCTAACCAATATCATAATTAGCAGAAATAAATATTCAGAATGTAATTTCTATCTAGGTAAAGACAAACATTTTGTCCATTTCACATATGATCTGTCAAAATACAGAAAAAAAAAAAAATCTGTGATTTATCCCTGACCATAAAACACAAATAAAATCTAGCACTCAGGATGTGCATACTACCCTGAAAACAAAACAACTCTCTTAAACAGTAAGGCTAAAATTCATAAGAACAGCTGTACCAGTTCAGAATAAAGGTCCATTTGTCTTAGAATTCTGATTCAACAAGATGGACAAAGAAGAGTAACAGCTAAGTGAGCACACGAGTATTTCAAGTACTCTCGCAGCCTCTGATTATTCAACTTGTAGGTTTATAAGGTGATGTGGTTTATTTTGCAACAGCTAGTTGATTCTTCAGTCTAATTTTCTCTACTCTTTATTAGAAACTGTTTTCTTAAATACATAAGTTAATGTTTGTGGTGTCTTGCTGATGAAGTTCCATGAGTAAACACTAGTCAGAAATGCAAGAGATAAAACCTCTTTGAAAAGTTTGAGATATCATCCAAGCAACATTCATTATTTGGATTTCAGACAAGGCATCTGCAAAAAGAAACTTCTATAGCTTGTTATATTAACAGAAGTTTCAGCAGGCAGATAAAAAGTGACCTACCCGAAGGTAAGCAATGACAAATGTCAGCATATATCCTCTCTGTCCATTATCTTCTCCTGCTGCCAAGCCACTGCAATTAACCAGAATTTAATTAACTTTCAAAGTAGTCACTGGTTTCCAAAAAGACTTAAACACTTTATCAAACATGTGCAAGTTGAGCTGTCTCCAAGCTGTGTTACAATGGCTTCAAATAGTACAGTCACTTCTTCGCTAGAAATGAGAAGTTACTTCAGACCAGACCTTTAAAACTCTACACATTTGTCTTTTCATTCTGTAATCTGAAGAGATGAAGAGTAACACAACAGTCTTCAAACATCACAAAGAACAGAGGAAACAAAGCTAGACACTTGATGTTCATTTACAGGAATAAGTATAACTGCATTTCTAAGTGTGTTGGATGCATGCATTTCTATGCTCACTGGTAACATAAGCAGGACTACTGGCTTTGGATCCCAAAAGTGTGCTAGGAATGGATAAAAGACAGCACTAAATAAAAAGGAAGCATTGCTTTCACTAGCCTATCACGTTACAAGCCGTGAGAAATTGTTTGCTTTTAGCTATTGGTTTCTTCAAAAAAGTGCTATGTATCTGTAGACAGCCCTACTGGAAGCTCCTGTAAGTTTAGGACAGGTGTGTGAAAAAATAAAAAAGACATTCTGAAGGATAGAATTAAAGCATTTTAGACCATTAATCCATTAAATGCTTTTAGACAAGGCTAAACTATTAAACACTTAACTAATAGCCTTAACTGAGCAGCACAGGCAGCACTGTATTCTAACAGACCTAACTCAAGTTTCCCTTCCTTATGAATACACCATCTTGAAACAGCAAAATACAGGATTCACAGCTGAAGCTTTTTCCTGCACACAACTAAAATGCTCTTTAAGCTCAAGAGCAATGTTATTCTTATCACTGAATGTTAGCAAGCTGCTCACCTGGAATTCCACTTTAAGCACAACAAAAACACAAATTTCAGAAAGGATAGCCTTGAAATGCATAAAATACTTATCTATAGACATTTGAATAGTTAAGACTAAAACTAGCAATAGCTTTCCTAAAAAAAAAAGTATATTGTTGACAAACCACACTTAATGATGGTTTTCAATTATGCTTAATCAAAGCAGAAGGTCAAGAATTTAATCATTACTCAGCCTGCCACTCTAATGAATGTTTTATGTCCCTTTGTAAGAACAGAAAATAGTCCAGGGACAGAAATTCACTGCATTCCTTCAGTTAAACTCTTCTTTTAATCAAACTTTTGGTATTCATATCCTCACATCAATTCTACAGTCTTAATATTACCCTTATGATTTTCTCTCCCCTTTCTGTAGTTCAAATATGGAGTCTAGCATTGCAAAACAAGCAGCTTCCACGCTCTATAAACAATTACAAGGGCTAGCTTTCATTTTAATAACAAATTTGGTATTTAGTCAAATACTTATTTTCCTGCAATACACAGACAGCTGAAATTACTACCTATTAATAGTTAGTTTGCACAAGCCATATTTATCAGAGGGAACATTCAATAGCTAATTGATTACTACCACTTAGAAGTAGTAAACTAAGAACACATGCATACAGTAATCACTGTAAAAATACAGTACTGGTTTTGCCTGGATAGCTAACTCCCAGCTTCATATGAAAGTCTTTGAAAAGCATACCCAAACTTGGTGGCAATATCATAGACTTGCTTTTCATGCTGAAGAACCTTCTCTCTGTCACCCTCAAAGAGCAAGGTAGCTACACACAGTACGTTGGGATCAAATCCTTTGAACTGCAAAGAGAAAAAAACTTCACATTATGTTGTAACCTATGTGGCAGAATATAAGCAACAAGTTTTTACATTTCAAATACACAGCACATTCTCTGGTTAGTAAGTGTTGTTGCAATTAAGAGGAAAGACTAGGAAAAAACACTTTTCAGAAATTTAGTCTCAAAACTATCAAGTTTTTCCTTCACAGAGCAAACATGCACAAGCGTACTGAAATAAGACATTATCTGTCACCTTTTCTTTCCTGTTGAAAAGCAGAATAGATATAACAGCTGCCTACCTATGCTGAAGAAAGAACAGGTCTTGAATGCTTTAAGCAATAGAGATACATTTATATTTTATCAATTACTCCTGTATTAAAGCAGGAAGATTACTATGATAAATGTCACTACTCAAAATATTCTACAGCACTGTGCCACAGAAAATCTGTTGGCAAAAGCACTACAGAAGGTAAATAACTTCTAAACTTGCGGCAGAGAGGATATCCCAGCTGAAATGCAGTGAAAGCTATTAGTTTTATAGTAAGGCAGTGGGGCTGTCTGGCTTTGTTTCAGGAGTAACAGTCAAGAGTCATATGTTGGCAAAGTATCTTGGGGTGGGGCTCAGTCCTCCAGCCAGTGAGACCAAATCTGTATATAGTGTGCTCCAGAGACATCCAAATCAGTGTTTCTGAAAAGAACATTAGAATCATATAATCATAGAATTGTTTAGGTTGGAAAAGACCTTTAAGATCATCAAGTCCAACTTGATTAACCTAACTCCACTAAGTCCACTTCTAAACCATGTCCCTAAGCACCACATCTACAGGACTTTTAAAAGCATCCAGGGATGGTGATTCAACCACTTCCCTGGATAGCCAGTTCCAGTGCATGATAACGCTTTCACTGAAGAATTTTTTCCTAACACTCAACCTAAACCTCCCCTGGTGCAACTTGAGGCCATTTCCTCTTGTCTTATCACTCGTTACTTGTGAGAAGAGACCAGCACCTACCTCTCTACAGCCTTCTTCCAGGCAGTTGTAGAGAGCAATAAGGTCCCCCTCCAAGCCCCTTTTTCTTCAGACTAAATAGCCCCAGCTCCCTCAGCCAGTCCTCAGAAGACTTGTGCTCTAGGCCCTTCACCAGCTTAGTCACCCTTCTCTGGAAACAGCATTGCCCTCTACCACCTCAGCAAAACACCACCATGAAAGCCACAGCAGAACAGAACACACCTTCCTGGGCCAAAGGATTGTTTTATTCATTAGTCCTACAAAACCAGCACAGCTAACAAAGAAATAGTTATCACAGTGATAAATGCCAAGGACAGGAATAAAGGCCTATTAAGATGCTATTTACAGTCCCTTCTTGTCCTAGAACCACTTGCATTTTGTCTAGTATAAATTCTGCCACCTTTTGGCTGTAATGCTCAGGTAACACACAGTTCTCTTTAAGAGGCACTGGAGGAGCTAGCTACAGTGTAAATTACATGAGTGCTCTAGGTAATGTTTGTCTACTATCAGTGAACAGTCCCAAACTACATGGAGAAACAAAGTAGAAAGACTTTGTCCCTATTTTCTTAACTGGTATCAGTTAAATGTCTACTCCATTTAATAAAAGAATGAAGTGTTGGTCTGATGTGTTCTGTATTCTGATGTTTACCTGTTTTTGTTTTTTCCCCTCTAGGAAGCAATTCACAAAATAAGCATAAGATGCATTTGAGTAACACCTGCAACATCAGTCTCAGGGTCATTACACTTGCTTCTTTTTCTACTCCTACCTCCCATCCCAGCTGGGGGTTTCTCTGAAGTAGCAGTTGCTCATATTCACCAGGGGACTAAGCCTTGACATAAGAGCTCGAGACTGAGCACCAGCCTGGAATCTATACAACACTACCACACAGCATTTCTCAAATTTCTGCATGTTTTTTCTCCTGCAGAGCTAGAAGAACTGGAGCTGGCATACAACACCCTTTGGTGATGCATCATCTCACAAAACAGCAATGCTTGTTGTCAGCTACAGAAGCAGTATGCTGCTAAATAGGATTGTTTCAAACTGACAGCAATCTCATTGCCAAAACCTTTACTACTTCAGATATTCCTGCACTACAGGAGATCTGGGAGGAAAGACAATTTCTGGGCTATCTCTAAACAGAGATTCTCCAGCAAAAGAAGTCCCAAGACATGGTATTTTCTACTTCAGTAGCACAGGAAAAGGCAGCAAAATCAACACTAGGCATTGTCTCTCAGTTAAGTCCACTCCTTGAAGGCACTTGATATTATCAGATCAGAATGCAAGGTTTACCTCCTAACAGTTACATATATGCAGGATGATGTAATTTTTTATATTTGAATACCCATATTTGAAGGAACTCAAATTTGGAGGAAAAAAGAATCAGTGATATAGTAAATTTCATATAAGAACATAGGTGAAAACATCCTGGCATCAGATAATTCTGGATTAAAAAGGGGATTCATCTGGACAAATTGGAGAAAAACAACAACAAAAACAATTTATATGAGCAACTCAAGGAAATCTTGAAGTTTGCCCAAAATTCCAGTTCTCTAACAAAAGATCATGCCTTGACAATCTGCGAAAAGACAGTGTTAGCCCTAGTCTATCAGTATTAACTGATAATCAGTGGTCTGTAAACTGGATAAATTGGTTCCAGTCTTGTTCTGCCACTGACTCACTGTTAGACAAGGCACATTATTCTCATCTACAGATATGACTGAGGACAGCTCTCATGGAGTAGCTCCTCAGACAATCTCATTTTGGATTACACCGCCTTCATAATCTCAAATTAACTGATACTACAATGTAGGATCTGTTACACTCAAACTCAGATGTATTAGAGGCAGTAGAACAAAAGATCTTGAGTTTTATGAATAGTATGCAAAGCACCAAACAGTATTACCAAAACTTACCTTTGTGATGTAGAATTTTTTCAGTCCATCCAAAAATGATGTAAAAATGGAAGCAACTTGTGGCTTAAGAGCATGACCTTTGGCAAAAAGTGGGAAAAGGTGTGTTAAGGCAAACAGTGCTCTTAAAATTCCTATTTCAATGAGCAAATAAATAGCTTGGTAGTCTAAGCTGTAAGAATCAGTTGGAGCACTTTGATTATCATAATTAAAGAAACTGCTCTGTACCCATTTAGGAGACGATTCAGGAAAAGGTTGGTTTGTTTTTTAAGGCATACGTACAACCGTGCACAAATATTTCATTTGACACTTTAAGGCTGCCCTAGTTTAGATTTTCAAAAGTACATTGTACACTGAAAATTTTAAAAGAGCATTCATTAGTTTTTACACTACAAAATCAGCGACTTTTTTGAAGTCATGCCAAAACCACTGAAACCAATAACCAAAAATAGTGCAAGTAAGAAGTTAAGCTATGTTTTTCCTTAATGGTTATGTCACTTGTGCAAAGTTTTCTACATAAGGCTAGTCATGTTTCCTTAATCACATATGGAGAACTAAAATCACCAGGATATATAAATGGTGTCTCGGAGTCTGTTAAATTAACATGTCTGCCTCAGGACTGGGTTTGATTGAGCTGGAAGTGTTCTAGTGTTTGTTTCACTGTTCTAGTCACAAGCAACTTCTGAACTCCATTACTGCTTCACTTCAAGTCTTGCATCTGGCCTACATGCTGTGAGCCCAATTCATAAACTTAGGCATCATTACATGATACTTCCTTCTAAAACACTTCTAAGTATTTCCTCCTGAATAAAGCATGAACTTCAGCAATTGATTACTCTTTAAGTATCTCCTTGCAGATACAAACAAACCCCAAGGAGTACACCTCCAAGCACACTTCTGTAAATAGAAAAAGTGCACCAGATAAAAGGACATGAATTTATTAAACCAGTGTGTGAAAAAAATACTGGATTTAAGCCTACTTAATGACTACAAGAAAAATCTATAGACACACCTGCAACTATGTTTTGTAGGTGACTGTATAAGCTACAACCTCAGACCAAAGCTAAAAAATAGAAGAATGATTTACTTTTAGTGCTGGGTTTAAAGCTTTTAATTGGTCAAGCTTCTTCCCGATTAAAAAGAAAGAAAAATGCATCTGCCTTCTGTTATACAGGTCTGAAAGAAATAGCATAACACAGAAGAGCGACCAAAGCAAGCAGCAAGGCTTCTTGGGCTCTCAAGTCTTAAAAATCCTGGTTCTGTCATTCGATAAGCGAAGTTCAACTTTCTCAACACCATCATATTAATGCTATTTGAAGTCAAGACCCATCACTGAGGCTTCTGGCCAAAAGAAGTTTCAGAAATTCTGACTTGTTCAAGTGGTATTAAAATAGAGGTTCTCAAGGTCAGTCACATTTGACTTTTTCTTCTTCATACTATCCGGGTTTCAGTTAGAACAGAACTAACTCTGTTCAGTGACTTTACTTTTCAGCTAAGTCTAACTAGCTGCACTTTCTGACGTTAACAGCATATTTTTCAAAGACAGCATCTGCTTCTAGCTCTGGTAACACTCAACATTTATGGTTACTACCAAAGATTAGCGTGCAGACCCAGGTTGCTGCTAAATCTTGTGTACCACATTGAAGGTGCAAGAACGTAAAAGGCTGCACCTGCTGGGATAAGAGGACAAGACAGGTGACCCTAAACGGACCAACCAGGTACATCCCATATGCACCATATTCAGTATAAAGTTGAATGATTACAAGGGTCAAGCTCTCTTCTTCAATAGCTGGCATCCAAGGAGGATCCATTCCCTCCCTTAAATCTTGATGTATGTGTTTCTGAATCCAATTTCAGAATCCAGCTCCTGAATCCAGTTTCCATCTGCCACTGAGTCCAGTCTGGGACTTGCCCAGTGCCTGCTCCACAGCATCAGTGATGACGGTGACAATTGCCATCGGGGTGGGCTTGGGTTTGATACTGGCTTTGAAGATATTCCATTTTATTATGAGAAAACTAAAACAGCTTTAATGAAACTGATCCATAAGTCTCTCTCCCTTATTCCCTTTCTCTTCCCATCTGGGAAGGGAGAGGGGTTAACAGGGTATGTTATAGATCTAGCAGGCAGCCCTGACCCTAAACCTTTGATTTTCATCAAAACAGCATGGTCTCAACAAGACCTTCAAGTTCTTTAAACTTCTAGCTTTTGGGTAGTGGAACTTCTTGCTCTTTTCAAGAGCATCTTGAACCAGAATGCATCTTTTGCCAAATTTAAGTTGGCAGTTTAAAATTACAGCTTTCCCTAAGAATTGCTCAAAAATGATTGCTACGTATGTCCAACATTCAATTACCTTGCACTTAAACAGGACAGATTTCACAAAAGTCTTTGCATTCAGTAATCTTCTGGTAGCTTTGTTGACTTTCTATACATAAGCCTACAGTTTAGTTCTATTTCCATACAGCTATGGCATTTACTACACCTGAACTTCTTTCAAAAATACTCACTTTGGACAAGTATGTCATGGCCTCTCTCCCACCTAAACAATCATTGCTACATCAGAATATTTTTTTAAAACCTGTTACTCCTAGGCAATCTGTATACCACTTGTGATGCTTTTATGAAATTTAAAGGAATCAGTCAACTTACCTTCGGAGTAAGATACCTGTATTCCAATTTTTTTCATATCCAACTTCTCATTAGTACTCTTTACGAGAAAATGTTTCAAGTACTATATTGCAAAATTATCACCTTTGCTCATTTACAGCAAAATAGAAGAAGTGCCTCCAGAATTTCCAACCCTCCAGTAGACAATATGCCAGAAGTGGGAAGGCAGCAAAAGAAAAATTTTCATGTCTTTATATGCAGAGCACAGCTCTTTAGTGACTGTTGCAGTTGATACTGTTCCCCCAGGGACAAAACCAGGCTTCTGTTTCTGCAAGTACACATTATGGGACTATCTGGAGTGTGAATTTCAGGTGCATTGCCTTCTTTGTCTAGTTTTGACCAAAAAAAAATTATACCTAAAGCAGACAAGCTACTAGAAATCAAGACCCTTGGAAAAATACATTTGTCCAAGATGTACACACTTACCAAACTGAAACTGTGCATTGTCAACAAGGCGAATTGAGGCAGGAGCACACCTCTTGGGGGAGAAGTTACAGGAATGAGAGGAAGGAAGAATAAAAAGATTATGAACGCAGTTTTTCTGAAACACATGACAATCAAATTTCCATTTCAATATATCATACAAGAAAGCACATTTTGATACCAGAGACCTATGGCCATCATCACAGATAAGAGGTAACTACAAGCTTGTTCTCACTTGACTAGCAGCACCTATTAGGTATGCCTAGATATAACACTGAGCATTTTCAGTTCAACCTTAGGCCAAAACAGGAACAGTCCAAAGATTTTTGATCTTCAAGTACTGTGTTTTCTCTAAATTGCCATATACACTGAAGACACCATACTTGATTAGTATATTGAGCAGACGTGGTTATGTAGTCAAAGATATACCTACACTACAAATCCACTGAAGAAGTCTAACAGTTGTGGATTAACCCCAGCAGGCAGCAAAGCACTACACAGCTGTTCACTCACTCCCCCTTCCAGTGGGGCAAGGAAGAATATCAGAAAAGCCAAAGTAAGAAAATTCATGGATCAAGATGAAGACAGTTTGATAAGCAAAATGAGAAAAAAAAACCCACCACCAAAAAGGGATGCATAAAGCAATCAATTACCACCAGATGATAAATATCCACGCAGTCCTCAATGGTTGACAATGGTCAACCCCCAGCAATGGTAATCCCTTTAGCAATGGTAACCCCTAAGAAAACTCCCCCATCCAGACTGAGTTCTGGCCATAATGTTATATGGTATGAAAAGTCCCTTTGGTCGACTTATATTGCTGTCCCAACTGCATTTCCTCCCAGCATCTTGTCTGCTCCTAATCCACTTGCTGGTGGGGGGAGAGTGAGAAATGGAGAAAGCTTTGACACTGTGTGCACACTGTTCAGCAATAGCTAAAACACCAGTGGGGCTTTAACATCATTTTGGTCACCAATTACAAAACATAGCACCACAGAGACTGATACGAAGAAAACTAATTCCATCCCAGTCAGACCCTGCACACTAAAGCTTTTCAATCAGACTGCAGTTAAAATCCCTATCTGGGTTCAATCTAGATTCTGCACAGTACAGAAATCTGAAAACCTGAACAGCTGCCCTCCACCAGGCAAGCCTCTGGTCATACTTATGCCTACATCATGTAATCTGAGATAGCTATGTCCAGTCATACTGAAATACATGTCCAAAGAAATATGACAAAGCCTGAATTTTAGGTTAGTCTTGTCTAATCATATGAATATGGAAGTACTCATCACTTGGATGTGCCATGTTCACCCTCCATCATATCATTAACATGTATTTGGTCACACAACAGGAAAAAAGGATACAAAGAACTAAGACCGTTCTCCAGGCAGGTTGACAGAAGTCTGGATGGTTTTAAATGAGACCAACCCCCTCACAACCTGCAGGGTGGTTACTCTTACATTAAGGCAGACAAGAAAAAGCTTTTCAGACAGCAGTCATTGGAATTACTATTACGATTGATGCGAGGGACAACAAGAGAAGATTAAGTAGTTCAAGCTCAAGTACAGTAAAACAGCAGCAGCAACAGAAGCTTTGAAGTGAAGCAACACTTAAGTGGCTAGCAGTGCCTATTTTCCTCCGCTTCTAAGCCCATAGCTAGGGAAAAGACAATAGTTCCCCAATTAACATAAAATGTTGATCAGCCATATGATTAAGCATCCCTCAGCAGTCTGCTTAGGTACTTTTAATATGAAGAACAAGCACTAGCAGTAGAAGCACAACAAACTGGCAAGTGCTGCTGACTAATGTAGACATGGTATTCACATACCAGCCTGAACATCTGGCTTGGAACATTAAGTCATTAATTTAGACCAATCACTGAAAAAATGTAAAGCTGTTTAGTTTGGCATTAAAATATTTGTGAAATTACCTTCCTAATTCAGAGTATATTCCATCATTCATAGAAATTATTTGATAGTCTAAGATAGTGAAGAAAGCAGCTAGTTAGTGAAAGATTTGGTTGGAAGCACAGCCATGAGGATACCTGTGTCTGAGTTTTGCTACATGAAACCATCTGACCACACCATTTACAAGGCTCCAATTAGTACAATGTAAGCACAATTCGACCTCAAAACATCCAGTTCACCTATACACATCACTGTGCTTCATGAAGTGTTTTCTAAACACAGGCCATATCCTTCCACTGCAGGGTTTTTGTTCCTTTGTCCCCTCAGAGCCATAATTCAACTGCCTTTTACTTGTATGCTTCAACTTAATTCCTTTAAATACTGTTCCCTTTTACATAGCCCTGAATTAATCTAAGGACAAAGCTCTCCACTGAAGGAGATGCAAAGCCAAATTTCTTTGTGATGAGATATGCAAATAATTCCCACCGAATAAAGCAATCAAGAGGTACGTCCACTTTTGGCTCAGAATATCAAGGAAATTCAGAACTTGTCCTCTTCTCAACTGCATAATTTCCAAAAGCCTCATGAGCCAGATACACATGAGGTTCACATCTCAAATCCATGGCTATCGACTGCCAGATTACTAAAGCATCAGCATCCTCCTTGTGATAGAAACTGTGTTCTTGAGTGAAGTCAAAGCCCAGCTTTTACCTGCTTTGCTACTTCCCTTAAGCAGGCCACCCCTCGTTCAAAGTTGGGGAAGACCACAGAGCCATATTTCTGGTATTCAGGGACTGGGCGAATCTTTATCGTAACTTCAGTAACCACCCCGAGAGTTCCTTCAGGAAAAAAGAAAAGCCAAATAAATTTTGCAAGAAGCACACCTTGCAACATTACCCAGCTTAACAACTGTTTACCAGGATGTCAAGGTAACAAATTAGAAATTCCAAAAATTCAGTACTGCAGTAGTAGGTGACTACCTACTCCTGGTCATTTGCACAGTGAATTCTTACAAGATATACTCTAAGCTGTGATGTTTGTTACTAGACTTATAGGCTAACTCCACAGAACTGTTTTAAGCACTCTTCAGAGTTGCTTCATTTCAGTCCTAATTAAGGTCTCCAATGTATTATCCTAACAAGAAATTCATCCCTGCACAATGCCACCCATAGACAGACTTCAAGCTACAGCAATAAAGATGCTGAAGTCATCAAGCCATTACAGGAGCTGGATCAAGATGCAGTTAGGTGAGACTGTTGGTACCTTCAGATCCCATAATGAAGTGGTGGATATCGGGTCCTGTTGACATGCGAGGTACTTGACAGTTTTTTTCTACTATTCCTCTAGGAGTTACCATTTTTATATGAATCACCTGTTAGAGCAATAAGCAATGACTGAGTATTAGTATTAAGCATTTCCACAAAATGTATATTAAGCTTGATACAGTTCAGCTTTGTAGATTTTAGACATTCTGTAAGAACTTCTGGGATAATCTGAGGACTGTTATCAACAATTACTTGTAACACAGCATGGTTTGCCCATACAATTTATGTTCAACATCTTCGTTAAGGACCTGGATGATGGTAAAGAGTGTCTTCTCAGCAAGTTTGTTCATGATACAAAGCTGGAAGGTTTGGCTGATACAGCTGAAGGCTGTGTGGCCATTCAGTGAGATTGGGACAGACTGGAGAGCTGGGCCAAGAGGAACCTAATGAGGTTCAACAAGAATAAGTGCAGAGTCCTGCACCTGGGGAGGAGGAATAAAATGCAACAGTACAGGTTAGGAGGAGATCTGCTAGAGAGCAGATAGCTTTAGTTCAGCAAGGCCTACTGAACAACAACTGTAGTTCCTGCCAACCTCAGTCACTGGTAGCCATGCGGTACGTTTGTGCACATGAGCGTGTCTGAACTATGAGCTGAAGAAGCCTGGGGGCGAGGGGGATACGTTGCCTGGAGCATGCTGTGGGGACACATGAAAAAAGCCACAGGTGGAAGGGCCATTGTACAAACTACAAGAGAGCTGGAAGCCTGAAGCAGAGAGGCAAAGTCTGAACAGTGATGACTTGAGTTCTGTTACAGTGAATATATTGAAAAGGTAGATTTTTAAATTAAAAAGGTATGCTTTAAAGAGCAAGTTACCTAATATAAAGATGAACCCTTTTAATGCTTAAAATGGAATGTGCATCCATCCTAGAATTTTGACAGTATTATTACACTGGATTGAGTGCAGAAAATGGTGGAGGAAAGCACCAGACTCAGGAAAGGGTAAAAGTTACTTAAACAAGCTAATGAGCACCAAAATTAAATTTACTTTTAGATCAGTGATAAGGATTATTAGTACTAACACTAAAAGGAAGCAAACAGGCACTTTGGTCAAGATTTGATGCCCAAACTGTCTCACTTAAGAGAATTGCCACTGTCAGTCATTTTGCCAAGCAGAATAGTTAATTATAACTATCAGAACTACTTACCAAATCTTCAATGTTTCCATAGATGTTTTTTTTCATGCCTGATGCTCGTGTTGCAACCCACCCTCCTAGTGAGCTGAACTCCATGGAGTCTGGTTCATGGCCTGTACAGAAGCCACTTTCAGCAAGCTAAAGAAACAAAGAAATATGTTCTAGAGATCCAGTATTTGCTAAGTACTCCATATATCAACATGCTATGTCTTGTTTGTTTGTTTGTTTTTAAAAAGTATCCTGACCACACAGCCATTTATCTAGGCACAAGTTTTATCTCTGATATGTCAATGAAATTCAAATTGATTCTGCTTCTCCTGTGCATATGGGATGCTACGTATCAACCTATAATAATCCTCCCGATCTTTTAAAACCAAGACCTCTATTGTTCATAAGGCGCAAATTCAAATACCTATGGGGAAAAAAAACTATAAGTCACTGCCAAGTTTGCACAGACACTGCCAATCAATAAGGCACAATCTCTTGTTCTTTGTATCCTAATGTGATATGCAGCAGGTACGCAGAAAATGTGAGCAAATTGTCTGTACTTAATTCTCTCAAGGAGTGATGCTTTTTAATATACAGCCATCTGGTTGGGCTTCCTGCATGCAATGCTGTCAACTACTTGTGATGCAGATCATGCAGGTCTGTACACTAAGTAGTGGCTTGTTTCTCATTTTTCTGTTAGCTTGGCCTTGCCATCTGCACAGCACCTGAGGTTGATTCGATGTCCTCAGAAAGGCAACACTAAAGCTGTCAGACAGGAAGAACTGAATACCTCACATAAGTGATAACTGTGTTAATGCATTGGAGATGACCAATTTGCACTGACCAACTGAAAACAAGCCTGTTGGACATCAGTAGTTAGGTATGCCACATAACGTGGATCATTAAGTGTTCCGTTGTACAAAGCGTTCAGATTTTCCTGACTAAAAGTCACTTCTATGTACCGTCTGTGGTGATTCATCTAGCTCATGTTCCTCTCATGTCAGAGGAGCTTGTGGACTTGCACACTTACTGGTCATATATTAGGAAAGGTTTGGAGCCTGCACCCTCCTCATTTCCCGAGGTGACAAGACTTTGCTTCGGCCACAGCTTAGCAACTTCTGCCAGTGGTGTACACAAGCCCAGCAGAAGAGCATGCTTCTGAACACCTCTAACTGGCCATGCACTACAAAACACTTGGTAAAAACTCCTTGAATCCTGTTGCATGAACAGCATGTGCTAAGAGCACTTACAGGCCAAGGGAGAGATTACGGTATGTACTTGGCAGATTCAAGAAGCAGCCTCATCCAGAAAATATGAGCACATACTAGCTTTTTCTGTAGAATCATAACCTCATTGGTAATGTTTATGACAAAAACCAGTATCAACTATCGTTCTATTTTCATTATCTTTTTGTCACCTTTAGTCCTCATCTATCAGCTACTATTTCATACTCTGTTCTGACAAAAATCAGTAACTTGAGGCTTCTCTGTGAAGTCTGTTAGTATGTGGAGTTCTCATCCCACAGCAAATAGTAACTTGATCACACTAGTCACTAGCTTTGACAAACACATGAAAGGTACTTGGATTTTGAGCATCCCAAGATAAAAGTAACAGCCTAACTTTTGTCAGATATCACGTCTTCTAAATATGTTGTTGTTTAGAATTTGGCTCTTGATTTTAGGTACTGTTACAAGGTTCATGGTACCTGTAAATGAGATAGCCTAAGTAACTTCAGCACCCAAAAACTGAGGAACACAGCAAGAGGCACCAAACCTCTACACTGAAACATAATTCCTAGATAATGTTGGTAAAGTCTCTTACAACAACAGACAACTCCTGCAGGATTTGATTCAAAACCTCCAATTCAAAGATTACTTAATAGCAAGCAACAAACTAAAAAAAAAAAAAAATTCAAACAGTTCTGTCTTTGCACAGTCCAAATGTATATCTGCAATTCTACCTGTACTTCAGTGGGAGTTTGTGTTGACATTAACTATAGTATTGAAGCATAGTTATGGTCAGATTGTCCATCGCAAAACACCTACAAATTGGGGTCCTAGCTTTAATCACCTCACATTTGCTGATAATACTGGAATTCTGGTATATTTAGTAAGGGTTTTAAAAATACGTACCCACTGAGTAGATTTAATTTTGTATTCTTTGCACACTAAAGGAATTGCACAGAAATCCTCACATTCTCAGAGTCACTCCATATATTAAAGCCTTTGTACAAATAGTAGTTTATTCAGTATTGAACAGATTCACTAGCTTTTCATAGTTAAAAACCTGACTGAAAAAAAAAATTTCAGATTGAAATGATCCAAAAAGAATAACTGCATCAGTAGTATTTCAGCTCAAAAAAGCCATAAGTAGCAAGGGAATATTGTCCCTTACTCCAAGTGAAAGGAAAAGTAGTGGCATTTAAAGGATAGATAGTAGTGAAATATCGAACTACTACTCTAGAAGAGTGTCATTTAAATGCAGAGGATATTCTCCTTGCATTTTAATTCCAAGCTCAAAAAAAACAGATTTGGAAAGATTAAAATATTACGTCAAATGATAAAAGGGAAAACAAGAGGCAAGAAAGGCCATCTTATTCATCATTAACAGCTCTGCTAGTCAAATATTACAGGTTTTCTTCTAAAAAGAGGCCTGGAAAAGAGCATTCAGAAAACCCTTCAAATCCCTGCACATTTGTAAGGTGCATTTAGGCATTAAGAAAAAGTCAGACAACATTTAACTATCAAACAAGTCCTAGGCAATTTTTCTTAAATAAGCAAGAACTGCACATCCTGAAGAACCAGCTGCATCCACAACTTGCTTGATTATAGAGAAGCACCAAGATAGATCCTGAGCAGGGTGCTACGGCTCATCTGATAAACTGCAATTAAAAGCCAATAAAAGACAAATGAGGACACAAATAATTTAGTCTATTGTTTAGGGCAACTCTCCATCCTTTCTGCTACTCTTATGCAGCTGGCCTTAAGAAGCAGCAACAATAGCAAATTTCTTATATGCTCTAATCTTTAGGGAAACTACCTCTGGCCAAAATGAGTAAAACGTGCATCACAAAATGACAATTTGAACTTTTCCTGGAAACTGGTACCACATGTCATGCCTTGTAACCACAAGGGTTTATCTAAGGTCTGAAACAAAGCACAGCATGACACGCTCTGAATTGTCATCTTATTTCAGCAATTGCGTTTTGTGGCTAGAGCTAAAAAGAAAAGTAAAATTTTAAAATACAGTACTCAATGCAATATGGTTCACAGCCATGCATACAATGCTTACCATGTCAGTCTTCCTGAAAAACACACAAGAATCAAGCTAGAACTCAATGATTTCAACAAGACATGAGAAACAGCTAAGAAAAATATGGAGAAATACTGTATGCTTAACAAGTGAAAAATACCTGTTTTTCCAGATCTTGTCCAACAATGCCAGCTTCCACACAAGCTGTTAAGTTTCTCTCATCTATCCAGAGAATGCGATTCTGTTGAAATGCAAATGAAAACTAAGAATCTGCATTACAGGCTTTTGTCTATTTCCTTCATTAATGCTACAGAATCAAACACGGTCGATCATAAAGTTTACTATTAACAACTCCAGGTACTACAGCACTGGAAGCTGAGCCCACTCACGCCCTCAAAAAGCCACATAACAAGTTACAATTTATGACGTCAGCGCTCTAAGAAAATAACATTTATTAGTCAATTCGTACTAGGAATGGTCACAGAAACAATGCAGAAAAGTCAGAAATAATTAAGCCAAAATTACATAATAGAATGTAATGTATTATTGCTTATAATGTGATTATAAGCTCTTGGATTTCGACACAGTATGCTAGAAGCAATATTTATTACAGGATGTCAGAGTGTGTACATGCTTTGGAAGTGCAAAGTACTTGAAAGGATATCCTTTTATGTGATGAGACCTTCACTGTCCCATCAATATATTCTACTGAACAGGAGAAGTGGTAAGTGTTGCAAGTTACAAGGAGCACCAAGCACTGTCAGTGCAGAGAATCCACATGAAGGAGAAAGTTAACAAATATGGTTTTAGCTTTGTTTATAGTCAGAATGCTACAGAAGCTTCAGCTTCCACTTGTTCTTAAGTACACTTCTGGTGTACTTCTGCACAGTGTTGATAGATAAATTTATAGGAGAATAGCTCTAACTTCCCTTCGCCTTGAATTTTCAAATGACAGAAACACACATCTAGTCCAACTCAAAACTATGCTTTAAAGCACTTGTCTCCCCTCTCACAACACCTGGACTAACTATTCAAACCCACCTATTTCAGCTCCTTTCAGACACCTTCAGTTTCAAAATACACTGCATAACTGACCTAAGATGCTTATATAAGTCAGTTTTTATGCAACAGAGACCCTACATATAAGATGAAAACCCATTAAGTATCTAACATAGTAAAGCTTAGCCAACCATTTTAACTGCTCTGAGACACCCAAGCTTTAACTCTTACAATTCTTCTTTTAAACTTAACTTCCTTATTTTCCCTCCTCATTAATGGGTACAAGAATTGGCTGGCAGAGTCATTCAAGACACATGAAATTGTCTCCAGACTGGAGAGCTGGGCCAAGAGGAATCTAATGAGGTTAAACAAGAATAAGTGCAGAGTCCTGCACCTGGGCAGGAGGAATAGAATGCACCAGTACAGGTTAGGAGGAGATCTGCTAGAGAGCAGCTCTGTGGAGAGGGACCTTGGAGTCCTTCTGGACAACAAGTTGTCCATGGGACAGCAGTGTGCCCTTGTGGCCAGGAGGGCCAATGGGATCCTGGGGTGCATTAAGAAAAGTGTGTCCAGCAGAACAAGGGAGGTCCTGCTCCCCCTCTACTCTGCCCTGGTGACACCTCACCTGGAGCACTGTGTCCAGTTCTGGGCTCCCCATTTCAAGAGGGACAGAGATCTGCTCGAGAGAGTCCAGCGAAGGGCTACGAGGATGACTGGGGGACTGGAACACCTGCCTTATGAGGAGAGGCTGAGAGACCTGGGGCTGTTTAGTCTGGAGAAGAGGAGACTTAGTGGTGATCTAATTAATGTGCACAAATATATGAGGGCTGGCTGTCAGGAAGGAAGGGTCAACCTGGTTTTGCTTGTAACCTGAGACAGGACAAGGAGTAATGGTCACAAGCTGGAGCACACGAAGTTCCACCTCAACATGAGGAAGAACTTCTTTACTGTAAGGGTTCCAGAGCACTGGAACAGGCTCCCCAGGGAGGTTGTGGACTCTCCTCCCCTGGTGACTTTTAAGACCCTTCTGGATGGGTTCCTGTGTGACCTGCCCTAGACTAGATGGTCCTGCTCTGCCAGGGGAGTTGGACTCAATGATCTCCAACAGGTCCCTTCCAACCCCTAATGTACTGTGATTCTGTGAAGTGGTCTATTTTCTGACTCAGTGTATACTTATCTAGCTCACACAAAAGCATGATAATAGGTGTTAACCACATTCCTTTCCCACCCCCAAATAAGACAAAGGTCAAAGTCGTGGGCTATGAATCAATGAGATGAAATGAAGGCTTGAATCAGTATTATACAGAGTAAAAAAACTACTCCAAAGAGTACAAAAACCCAAAGAGCTTCCTTCAACAGGCAACTACCACCTTTGCAGAAAAGATCACTTTGTATCCAGATAGAGAAACAACAACTTTTAACTGAAGTACCACCAACTGAGTGGAGAAATAGGAGCTAAACCCTAGGTCTTATCTCAAAACTTAAAGGAGTTAATAAGCTCAGCAGGTGCTCAGAGGCAGTAGACCCTTACAAGGATACAGAGCTTTCTGAAGCATCTCATTTCTACAGTCAGAAACCTAACATTTTTAAAGTATAAATCTCCTTCATAACAGAAATATGAAAACTAGCACTGATTTTTACATAAATTAATTTCTAGGCTGCCATAAAAGGATGAACTTCATATTCTCAAGATGCTATCTACACAAAAAGCTAGGGTTTTCTTTGAAGATTTTTTTTATATATCAGGTCACCTTAAAAATACTTAAAGATTGGCAAGTCTGCAAACACTAGCAAAATTTGCAAGAGATAACTTCCTCCTAGCCTTTCACTTCAGATACAACTTCCTGCACAGAAAAATAGTAGCTTCCTCTGATTTTCACTTAAAGCTGCTGTAAGTCTTAATGATTTTTTTCCCCTTATTGAATGCATATTGGTCATATGTAGTAGTACATACATCAGCCAAATCTCACTTAAACTGAAGGAGTACCAATTTAATGATGCATGGTACAGATTAATACTTCCATCCCTACATCATTCTTGCAAAGAAATAAGTGTTGTTCTCTAGTGATCACCATTCAAAGTAACCATCAGATAATTAAAAAAAAAAATAAAATTGAGACATACCATTTGTGATGTATCCAGCGAAACAATTGTTCTTTTTTCTTCTTCAGGACATTCAAGGGCACTAGAGACACTTGTCCCTCCTGCATATATGGCAGTGACATTGCAATCAAAATTGTCAGGTAGCTTTTCTTCACATACCATCCCCTCTCTCCCTCCTTTCTGATATTGAACTTAATAAAAGATCATGGTAGTATTTGAGGCTATTTATTAGCCTTTTAAGGCTGTCCTTTCTCCCAAATGGGGTTTTACAAAATCAAGGTAGCATCGGAGCTGACCATGCTTTAAGAGCACTAAATAACAAACCACAAAATTCTGTGACCATCTCAACTACTACTGTTAAGTCCAGAATAGACTTTTAAAACAAGGATAAGAAATAAAGCCATCCAAGAAACAGAGATAGCTACAGTTTCTGTATATTCTGACTACTGCAGTCACTACACTTGATCTAGAGAATTGGCTTAGGTCTACCTAATACAGGAATGCAATACTTATCTGAAAGGAAGAAATAAACTGAAAGGGTATAACTATTTAAAAAAAAATGGTTAAAACCAAACAAATATTCTGGAGGTTTCCAATGTATTTTTATGGGATGTCACACAACAGTCTCCAAGCTGCATTTGACTTCTCAATGACTACAGAAGTCATAGAAAAAGAGACTGGGATGCTAAAGAGATCCACAGCAAGCCGACAGAACCACCACCAATGGCAATACAGAGACAGTGCCAACTAATAACGCTCTCCAAGAGCGGTAAAGCCCAGGATCTTTGTTACCAATTATAGGAAAGGTGCCATTTTCCTTCAATACCAACCCCTGTAGAACAACTCCAGAAGCTGACCATTGTTGAGTATAAATAGACTTGAAAAACAATCTGAAAATCTTTCTGTAGCCTGGTCAGTCAACATTGCTGCTTTGAGCTATACTAATCTACTAGTACCAAAGGTGACTTGTAGCAGTCTTACAACTCTCCAGACATATCTGACAAGGATAAGAGCATTTCAGGGAGAAATCAGCTCCATTAGTTTGTTCTTGTATGCAAATGACATGGCCATTTACAAACCTAACTTATACATGTTTGTGGGAACACAGCAAAAGCAATGCATTCATTCTTAAGTCTTCAAAGACAGAGGAAAAATTCAACTTCATATAAACACTTCTCTTGCACATTCAACATGCAAGGTATTAACATACTTCCAATGACTTCCACAAAATTGAACACAGCAGCTTTTAAAAATGCAAGACCATAAAAAAAACACACTTAGATATTACTTAAATCTACCTATTTAATCATAGTAATGTACCAATAATTCAATATTTAAATTAAATTCAAATAGAATACATTTTTACTAGTAATGTTAAACAGATTTAGGATTTTTTAACACTTACCACCAAACGGTATTATGCAGAGGTTGTGTTTGCAGGCTAATTCCACAATTTTAACTACATCTTCATGGCACACTAAAAAAGTCCAAACAGTTAAAAAACAGGATTTGTGCTTAGTACTAATGCTGCACTGTGAATAAGCAGCTGCTCCTTTTCTGACACCAACAGGGAAGAAATTCCAAAGAATTAGGCACCAAGTAAGAGGTGGGCTCAAAAGAATTAGAGTTCCAGAATAAAGTTTACACCTGAAAAAAATTGTACATTTGAAGAACCACAGCCTTAAGTCTCCTGCTCTACTCAAGGACTGAGAACTCCTGCAAATTCTCAGGGCAAGATGGGCTACCAAACAGCAAACAAGTAACTTTTGAGCTTCATTTGTTCTCCAAGATACACAGCTTATTGAGAATAGGCTGACCATTTTAATTGAGAAATAAGTCTCCTTTGAGAGCTGAACAACAAATATTTTTCTTCCTGGCTAACATTCAGTTTAAAAAAATAGAGTCGCTGGAGATGTGAGAAATTTACTTTTTCAGAATGCATTCTGTATCTGGTCAAAAAGGGAAGCAGAAATGCTTGTGCATAGGCAAGGAAAAGGATCAAAACCAGACCAAATACAATGTGTACACAAGTTCATGCAAACAGCAGAGAATGAGCAAGACTGAATAAGCAGGCTTACGAACTCTGGCTATTTTACTCGTGCCATACAGAGCAGCTTTAAACAAAGGTAGTCAACCATTTTATTTCAATAACTTTTGGAACTGCACAAAATGGTGTGGCAAGTGCTGCTCAGTCACCAGCACTGTCATGTCAGTACCTGTCCTCAAGTAATGAGATGCATCATAGAGTGCCTCTCTGTGCCTCCCCTTTTCTCTCCCTAAATAAAGGAAGCAAATCTGAGCTAAGACCCAGTTCTTAGCAGAAATTGTGGTGTTTCTAACACAGTGCAGCTATCAAAGTATCAGAAAGTTACAAAAGACATGGAAAGAGCTAAATTTATACAGCTGCAGAGAAACTGAGAGGGGCATAGAGCAAACGGCTTTAGAGTTAACTAGACATGGAAAGCATGTCCTAGTGACCAGAGAAACGCAACTCAAGTAGAAAAGTCACACAAGAGTGCAAATAAAGTTATATCAATTTAAGTACCTGTATTCTGTCAGACAGAAGCATATTTTCTGCTACATATTATCTACAACAGCAGTAGTTATTACTCTGTTTTAAGAGTGTGTAGCCTGTACTCAGATGGCTCTGCGCTTCTTTGCAGTCAATGATCCTTTGTAAAGTGTTCTGATAGCAGTTACAGGTGTTACACTTCTAATAAAGTACAGCATGTCATAAAACAGTTCTTTGATAGAAAGATTTTACTACCCTTCTACCATCATGTACTCCTTTAAAAAAAAGGACTTAGACTGACATTTAGACAACTACTCTTGGTGAACATAATTTAAATTACACTGTGGTTACTTAAGTCATGAATCCAGCTGTCAACAGAAACTTCAACTATATTTAATAACAAATTTGACTTCCCCACAAAATGATGGGATTTAACAGGCACAACCTGTAATCCAGATGTTAAACAGTCATGATGACCATAGTGAGAAAATTCCTTCATTTTCTGTAAAGTTAAAGTCAGTGAACCAAGACACAGCTTGCCCCTGACAAGAAAGCACAAGAGTTTAATAAATAACAGCCTCCCAGATCAGAAGGGAGAATGAGACAATTAAAGCTTACCAGGCCACACAACTATATCAGGAATTCGCTTAAACATTCCTTCCCTGAGTACAAATATCTCATGTAGGCAGTGACCTGAAACACAAACAATGAGTTAACAGGTTCAAACAAGGAAGCATCCAAAGCTGCAGTCACACAAATGCAGTTCTCTTACCATGAGCTCTGAATACCCTATCTTCTGCATCCTGTGAATACGAGATTTTAGTGGCTCTAAGATCCTGAAGAAATTCTTCTTTTACAATGGATGGAGGTACATCATTAACATTTAAGGATGCCTACAATACAAGAAAATAAGTTCATTAAAGGTAGGCTCACCCTTTTCATTATTTCTGTTGCAGAGAAATTATAAAAACAGGTTAACAGCCAAGCTACTAACTATTCAAGACCAGAAATGGAGAAGTTCTCTTCCTCATCTTCAGTCATCAGTCCCACTTGTCCTACCTGGCACTCAGCTGACTAGATGCACACAGAAGTTTTGGTTCAGTAGCACATTCTCTCTTTTTTCCTCTTGATAAATTTGGAGCAATGCACCAGCTTAGGAGTGCATACCGGTCAAAGAAAGAACAAAAGTCTTTTTAAAGACTTTGCAAGATCTAAGAACAGCTGCCTGAACAAAACTAGAGACTCTCCTGTAAATAAAGAGGTAGATATTGAAGGTAAAAACTCCTTTTGACTGTAAATTTCTCCTCCAATACAGAGAAATATGTAAGAAAGCCACTACCCACTCCACAAATTCTTCTACTTCCAGTTCTGTTTCTACCAACCTACTTCTCCTGCCATACACAGGAAGTTAAATCCACCTCAGGCCAAAGTCTAATCAGAAGACCAAAGCAAGGAAAAACTAAGTTTGGCTAATATGACATAACTGGCATGCTTTAAGTAAATCTCACATTAGATTTTATAAAATCCGTGTTCAGTCACAAACATGCAGGTGTTTCCAGAAAATCTCTAGTTAGGAGTCCTGATCAATACATTAGAAAAGTTTTTCAAAGAAGCTACACTGGACACTGTGGCTTAACAGGCATTGAACCAAGGTTCTGTAAGTCCAGAGGGAAAACATCTGCTTAAGGCTTTCTAACAACACATTCTTCCAGATCTTTGACAGATGTCTTGTGCAGCGTTCTTATGGTCCCTCAAAGTTCTGACCTAGCCACTTAATCTTTTCTAAAGCCCACTTTAGATATCAGGCACATGGAAATGTAGGCCATATGTTGACTTTTTAAGTCTACTTAGAGAAGGAGGATTCTTTACAGGATCTAGTTAAAAAAAAAAATTTTGGAGATAGTGTAATGCTTTTCTGTGCTCTGAAGGTTAAAAAACCCAACGTGCTATTTTTCCTTCATAAAAATGTAGTAAATAAATTCATTTATACTTTTCTATGGGCAAAATCTCTAAAGGATTACATCTGCTATTATGAATGGCATCTAATGAAGGAGTTCTTTGGGTAGATACGACGCTTGTATTATGACCAAAAACTAACCTCTCAACTTTAATTCCTATTTTGAAAGAAAGCTCTGGTCAAGAATCTTATTTCTAGTTAAGAAAGCCCCCCAGGTCTGAGAACATGAGAACTGGAAATTTTTCACTACCGCTTATTTTAAATACACTCTTAAAAATTAGGAGTTGCACAAAAACCAATTAAAACATAGCGCAGTGCTTTCAGTCTCCTGTCATGAAAACCTTGCTGACAAACTAACCATCACCTTCAACTCATAGAAGAGCAAGCTTCATAACAAAGTTGCAAGCAATCAGGAGAGGCCACAGGCCAGCTAGTGATGCCAGAGAGAGACTGCTTACAGCCCTACCACCAAGTATTTTGTATGTAACCTTTCACACAGTCAAAGAAACTTACGTGTTTCTTTTACAAGCCTAGACTACATTTCTTGACAAGCAGAAAGAGAAAACAGCAAAACTGAATTTGTTTTTCTTTCTCTTTGGGAAACAGGAGAAACAAGTACCAAATAAAGATCTTTAAACCTCTTTAAAAAAAAAAATCCTTGTTAGCCATGCTTTTCTATTTTCTATAACATTTTCTATTTTAAACTTTGGCTTCTTCATGGATTTTCACAGACAAAACTTTCATATTATCTCAAGTTGAACATGAAGAGCTTGAAGATTTTTGTTCTCCAATAGGGACACTGACTACTTAGAGCAGTAAGGATTCCTTGTAGGTGGTTAAGTATCTTGATTTTTATCTCTTCCACAAGTATTTGAATCCTTTCGTTTTCATCTTCAAGACTGAAACATTAGTACTTATCTTACACAATGCCAAACAAAACCACACCTTTATTATTACAGGACTGAAATATTTAAGATTTGTGTACAAAGTCTACGTGAACTATGTCTAAACTGCTGCCCGTGGTAAGTCTAGTCTGAAGATGGAAAAACATCATCAGGCCTGGAGCACCACAGAAGCAGGTAAATTACTGTTAATTAGAACAGAAAAGTAGCACACAACAGGGAACCCTCCGGCCTTACACAAAGGCAGGACAAGATGAGATAGAAAGACAAATAGACAAAGACATCACTCCTTTACCACTGCTCCTATACCTGAGTTTCTTCATGTTCTGTTGATAGCAGAAAGTGAAAAACCAATATAGCATGACAATCTGAATCAAATTAGGAACTACAACAGAGACATGAAAATAGGGAACCTGCTGAAGAGCTTGAGAATATCTATGAGAAGTCTAGATATACACCTGGCAACTCCGGACTCATATCCTGTGTAAGGGTAGTCAGCCCATTTCAGATCAGAACACCAGAATCTGAGGGGCACAACATAAGCAGGAAAGCATTCAACACTGCTGGCAGGTACCCTGAGGAGCTGGTTTGCAAGACACTGTGGAATCAAGACACTATTCAAGAATCTACCCTTGTCCTCCAATTCTACTTCTTCCTATATTTACTCTACATATAGAAAGCGAACAATGGCTCTCAGGACCTCTGTTGACAGCAAGTTAAAGCAGCCACCAGTTAAGACCAATCCTTGTCAAGGAAAACTCATCAAGAGGAATTTTTTTCATAATACATTGGCAGATGGATATCCTGCAAGTCATACCAGACAAAAGAATATCTTGACTAACAGAAGACTGAAGAAACATTCAAGTTCTCAAGCCCTATGAGATTACCTGCTTCAGAGAAAATGCAGTCTTGAACTCAAGAAATGGCTAAAACTGTTACTCACAACAGGGTTGCTACAGTCACTGTACAAGCACAGCCTGTTTCCAACACTACTTCAAGCAGCTATCTAGCAAGGATACTGCAGCCTCAAAGGAATAATTCTCAGAAGGGAGCCAGGTCTCCTGACTCTAACATGAGGTACTCATAAAAAAGAAAAATATGAATGCTTCACAACACCCTGAACATTCCAAATGTACTGTTTTTCTGAAAACATTCAGTTCAATCTTGAGTATTCTGATAGCAAATTTTCAGCACCCAGACAGGTTAAAAAAAGACTGCTTTCAAATAAGAATGTTGATACCATTAAATGCACTGAAAGTACAGCACAATTTAATTCCACTGTATCTTCTGCCTTTGTTACCACAAAGAACATTGAAGCCACAAACGATTCTCTCTAGGCTAACAGCTTCTGCAGTCTTGAAAAGCAACCTACGAACAAGGGCAAAACACTCCGTGTTGGAAACTTTCATTCTAATAAGTTCTACCTGTTAACCTGGAACCACAAGTCATGCAACATCATTGAAGGTTTTGTTAGGATTTCTACATCAAATACTTTTTGAAAAAACAGAGGTATTAATACATTATACTTAATCAATTATGTGCAATGTGACCTTCAGGACAACAGCTGAATCACCTTTCACAGCGTGGTCTTGATTATCACTAAGAGTGATGGTCAAAGAAACTGGTTCAGCTATTTACTTACTCTAGAGGTAGTTTTGTGCTCCAGACTTGCTCCAAAGGTTTTTTCTATCCATTCCTTAAAAGTTGGTAATACCATACCACCTAATCTGTACCTGAAAAGTCAATATTACACAGTGTCATTTTAAATTAAAAGACTGTATGTCAGATATACTTCTTTAGGTTCTACATATGCATGAAAGTTTTTAATCAAATTCTTTACCTACAAGCTTGCAAAGTTTCTGCACATTTAATTTTCATACAGCTGTGCGCTTGATTGCATTTAATTGTTTTGTACTTCATAAAATTAAACCGTAATCATCTCAGGTATTACTTGATGATCTTTGGTAATTATGGCATAAGGCTTTTCAGATATCCCACCCCTCCCATGTTGACTTTTAAAAAGGTCTCTCCCTTTCACTGCAGAAAGCAGTGTCACAGTTTACATGCCAGTTACAGGTTCAGAACATGTGCATAATGACACACTGCCATGTAAACATCAATCTCAGACACACAAACCCAACTCAGTACACCTTACATGTTTTCAGTAACAGTGTTAAAGGTTCCTCCCTCATCATCAGAACCCACCAAGCAATGTGAAATTATCAAACTCTTCAGCAAGAGCTTAACCATGTGACAAATGAAGACTTAGACAAGCAACAGAGGAGCTGTTTGTGAACATGTGTACTACATGCAAAAACAAGTAAGGCTGAGGACACTTGAACAGGTCAAAACTACTGCTATTGTTTGCATGAACACACCTTGTGCATGTTTATGTAGGCACAAGCATTCTCAGAGCAAAAGGACTTCCCTGTGGTACTGAGAGCCTCAGCAGCTGAGAATCCTTACTATAGTCTGCATCTAGGTCACTGCATTAGGTCTAGAGGGTCATCCTCCCAAGGTTATTTCAATAGCTGTTCCCCCAGTTACAACCCTATCCTTCATAGCTCTCCCAGACAAGGCAACAGCTAAGTAACCTGTTATACAGGGAGATCAATTCCTTTTGTTGCCTTATCTCAGCTACCTCCCAGTTCTCATATTGAAAAAAAAAAACCCTACTCTATGTCTAGAGATAAAAGACTACAACCAAATCTCAACTCAGGCTAGACTCTCCAGCTAGGAAGACAGCGTTCAGTCACTCCTCCTTGTGACAGCTGTTGCTTCAACACACCCATACAAAACAGTTAGGTGAAATCTATAAAAAGGAAAGTGCAATAAGCAATGGAAGTTTAATGCATTTGCTTGAGGAGTTTGTAAGAAAGGTACAGAGAGACTCAAGTCAGCTTCATGTGTTTTGTTCTCCAGATACACTTTTAGGTATTGCCAACCTACTATAATAGCTACCTTGCAAGGGTAACCTTAAACACTTACTCAAAGGACAAACTAAAGCTATGAGAAAACCAACAGCTTTTAAGTCAAGACAGACAGAAGTCACAGCACAGAGGGAGTTAGTGAGTTTACTGCACAGAATGCAACACAACTGCTCAGGAAGCAAATTTTGTGTGTATGTTGATGGTGCAAGAAGCCCCCCAGAAGACCTTCTCAAAAAACAAGTTTAGTTGCTCTGACTAGCAAGTATCATCCATCCCTGGTGAGATAGTAGAGCCTGTAATAAAAAGATCATTTGACGCATGGAAAAGCATGGTCTGTTAGAAGAGTGAACATAGTTTCCATAAAAGGAAATCCTGTTTCACCAACAGTTCTATCAGGGTGTAAAACCAGAAAATGAATAAAGGGGATACAATGAACATTGAATTCCACACTCCTTTATACTTCCACAGGTGTTCATCCCAAAAGCTATTTAGGAAAACACTATATGGTACTAAAGGAAAGGTTCTTCTACAGGCTGAAGGAGAAGAAAAGGTCAAGATAAGAAGCAAAAGGCAGGGCTTCTTGATCATCATCTGAGACAGACTCAGAAGTGCAGCTTTCCACACACTAGTACTGGAACAAGTTTTACATAATATCTTCATCAGTGGTATGGATTCATCAGTGGATGCTCTAACTACATGAATAATACCAAGCTCTTTTGGGGAGATAGATAACGCTCTGACAGGAACTCAGGACCTTAAACCTGAGCAGACAAATGAAAGTGAAAATGGTAGATAAGATGCAGATAACTGCAAAAACAAACAAACAAAACATCACCAACAAATTTTGCAGAATCAGACTGATAGCCGGTATAGGAAAAACCATGACATCTTCACTGACAACATACAACAGCAGCCACCAGCACTATGCATCAAACAGGCAGGTATAAGAGACAGTTCATCTCTTCACTGCTCTGTAGAAACCTGGTATACCACTACCTAGAGTGCTGAACACAGTTTTTGTGCCTGCACCTCCAAAAAGATGCAGCGAAGCTAGAGAGGGTTCAGACAACAGCAACTGTAAAGGCCAAGGGGCCTTACAAACCGGGACTAAAGGGCCCCCAGCTCCTCAGCACGGACAGAAAGTGGAGGAGCGGATGCGACTGAATCGTATGATCCACAAAGGAGCACACAGACTGAAGAACTATGATGCACCTGAGCCTGCAACACAGTAAAGGATACTTTGAAACAAGTATTTTACACCTGCTGCCACAGGGTGCTGCAGAAGTAGACAGTATCAGCACACTTGAAAGCAATTTGACAAATTTAGGGACAACAGTTCTGTAAATGGATACTAAAAGGACAAGGCATCTATAACATCTCTGCAGAAGCCTATTCTCCTGTTTTCTTTTCCAACACTCCTTTTGCCACTGAGACAAACTATTCCATAGAAAATACACTCATGTGGCCCAACATCAGGGCATTCCTGATGTTAACTATCAGTTAAAGATAATGCAGATGGAGGAAACGACCATTCTCCTCCCCATTCTAGAACAGCAACTAGTACTCAAAGAGTAGCCTCAATGATTCCTTCTGGTAAAAATACCAAGTTAAATCCTTTATCTTTTTTTCCTCCAAAGCACATGGCATAGATTTTCTGTGCAGCATAACCTACCCCAGATAAAATAAAATTAGCAGATGAAGGAATAAACAACAGTGACAAAAGTCAGAATCCTGGTATAAGGAGAGAGATCACCAAGATGTCACCAATAAGTGCCTAAAACAAGGCTTTGCATTTTAATCTGGGCTTGAAAAATTAAGAAATTAAGGATTGGAGTGCTCAACATCCCAGCTATGTTTTTGCAGCTAGTTTACACAAACACCAGAAATTAATTCTTCTGAAGAGCAGCATTTATTTGAAGCTTCTCTTCCCCATTATTTTTCTTTACTCTCATAAAAAGTATGTATTTTTTAAGCCAGGGAGGAGACTGCAAGACTATCTTCCACTGAGGCAGGAAAAAAAAAAAAAAAAAAAACCACACAACAGTCAGATGTCAAGTGACAGGCTTAAATCCCACTGGAACAAAGTTTAGAGATCCCCATGTAGACTTAATCTTAATGTCATTTTCTAAAAAAAAAAATCTCATAAAAAACCAAACTTTCTGTACAAAGGGCTAGTAGGTAATAAATCAGAGGTGTTGTCACTACTGAACATACAACTGAAGAGCAGTTTATTTTTAAGCTCAAAGGATAAAGTAGATCCATGCACAATAGTTCAGAAACCTCAAACACAAATTGGAAGTCTAACAAAACAACTTACTGATGCTCAAGTGTCTCAAAGCTGCACTGACATCATGCATGGTATCTAAAGCTTTAGAACATGATGCAGATTCTCAGTCTGATTCTTCTCCAAAGGAAGTTTATCACAGAGTATATCAAGTTACAGAGAAGACTCACATTAGTATTTATAATACTTTTAATAAGCCTTCCAATAAGTCACACAGTCTATTTTGCTACATTAGACTACTGTTTATAGAATTCAGTAAACCTGTTAAATACAGAACTACTAATAATCTGTTCTATGACAAAGAAAATTTTTTGCCTTTTGTCTTAATTGAACAGTGCCATTTTTAAACACTTAAAACCACTATTAGATAAGACACTTCAGTTACATTAATTTTCAACTAACCTTTTTCCTGTAAATTCTGCTTGACCCTTCTTATTGAAGATGAATTTGGAGTCATTGTATCCCCATCCATTCCACTTCAGAAGTTCTTGCCTTCAAAGAAAAAAAATAAGTGAGAATGTTAGCATATTGTAAGCCAAAAATTATTTGCAGTTATATAACTTTAAAAAAGTCTTTTCAGACAGGAATTTAAGAAATAATCTAGATATCAAAAGTGCACACCTTAACAGAGCTAAAAGTTATTCTGCAGCCACAGCCATTACTCCTTCAGACAGCATCCTCGGACTTGCAGGACAAGATGACTCAAAAAACTCAGCAGTTTAAATCAATACACACTGTTTAGTGATATTCTCAAACTGGCAAGAGTAATGTTTGAAAGATGCTTGGTTTTAAATCTCTACATAAATAGCAAATAAATAACACAAATACGTAATAATTTCAGAATGAAAAAGACATTCAGCATTGTTATTCTCGGTCAAGAAAAGAATTTTAGTTGTTTGACACCATTACTGCAATCCCATCACATTCTTAATAACATTCACTTGATGAGGTACTCAGACACATTTGGATTGAAAATGTGTTTTAGAAAGTAAAAAACTGCAGGTAAGACATACCAAATTCAACTTGAACATGTTACCATAAGAAAGGGAAAAATATATAAGAAACCCAACCAAATCATCCACAGCTGCCAAAATACAACATATCAAAATACCTTAAGTACAATAGTATCAAAATAGAGGATCTCTTAATTATGATAAAGTCATCAGAAGTATAGCAATGTAAACATATTTAAGACTTAAATACAGAGTAATTACAGATTAATCTAACTTTGCTTAAAAAGTTTGTCATTTATTTACATTAGAAAATACATATTGCCTAAAAAACAAATTTTGGTTAAAAGAAAGGGATCTTAAAGAATTCTGAAAAAATGTTTCATCTCATTCTGCTACATACAGTGAACGTAGCTCTTAGTCTTTGACCATATAGCGTAAGAGTAAGACAATCAGGGTGACCGTTTCAAAAGGACTGCCATTTACACAAAGCACTGCCTCGAGTCAGTTGTAGCTCCTATACAAGATAACTGGGTGATGACAGATTACCCAGGGCCTTCATTATAAAGACAATCTTAACACAGGCTGTTGACATACTTTCACTGCTGTAATTAGACTTGGCTTAATCAAAATTTATTTTCTTCAAAGTGCCTGTACACAAGGTTTTAATTAATCAAATGGAAAAAAGCCATGGACATGTATTCTACATCATTGGTTGAATTGGACATTTCAAGAACCCTTTGACAAATCAAGCACTTTCAAGCAAACTTTATAGAGCAGTTTCAGCACTCAGCAACTGACAACTGTGAAATAGCCAGTTTGTTGTTCTTCCCCATTGAGGAATTTATGCTAAAATTTCAGCTAAAATTAAAACTGTTTGAGTAGAAAGCTCACCAGCTACAGATGCCCCCTTGGTTGACTTCACCTCTGCAGATGTAGTGTTCACTCAGAAGAGCACCAGGATCCACTCAGGTTTGGTGGAACACCTTGTGCTATTACACTGACATGACAGATTCTGCAGCAGTGTTCTTAATGCATATTATACACTCTTGCCTATTTTAAAATGTATTTCTATATATGTATATTTATGAATATTGTGCATTTACAAAAAATTCCACAAAGACACTAAGTCAGCCACAGTTAAGCTCTTCCAAGCTGAGAACAAACTGACAACTGTCCAGCTCTAGTGGCACTTTTTTTTTTTAACTGAACATTCCCCTCAAATCCCCACAATTGCAGTCCTCCTCCAGGAGGATTTCTCCCTCTGACTAAATGCAGTGTTTCTATGCAACTGATCTCTTCAGCTCCTTGAACGCTGCAAAGTCAGCATAAATTCTATATTAATAAATGAAATCTGAGGAAGACTCAAAAAGCTTCCCCCTCTAAATTAGAGAGCTAAGCCCTCTTGCAAGACAGTGTCACAGTAAGTATGCCATGTATGCATGATGCATGAAACGGGCTAGAGAAACTAGTGGCAAAGCCAGAGACAATCAGACCAAGTCACAAAAGACTAGGCTCTAGAGGACCTCGTGACAGGAGAGAAACTGATACAGCACAGCTTTGGAACTATCATTAGTCCTGATGTTGGTGCAGATAGGTACTTCCCACAAAACCTATGGGTGGTACTATGAATTAAGACCCTGAACAAAGACTCAGATACCAGGTCTTCCTGCTAGGCTGACTGCATCTCCAGTTCTTGGCTTCTTCTAAAGGCCTGCTCTGCTAGGTTGCTGTTGAACTACCCCGGTGCTTTCATCAGGCTTGAAAATACAGAATACAATTTATGAGTTTTAACTCTTAAGAGTTTGGTTTTAGGTTCAACTACTCCTGAATAAAATAAGTACATAAAAAGCCTCTCTGCCAGACAACATAGCTCTTGTTATCAGTGTGATGAGAATAATGAATATCATAAAAGTTTGCACATTTGTGGAACAACTGGTTCTAAAACATCTCAGCTACATCATACCACAAAATTAGATTTCCCCTAGGCCCATACACAATGGCCAGTATTATATCTTGTGACAGGTAAACACCACCACAAAATGTTAAACATTTTTATATTCAAAACTATACCAAGCAAGTCTGAGGTTTGTCTGGAGACAGGAAGGGCTGCTTTTGTTACAAGGCATCTCACATTTATTCCTTCTTTTGTTCCAACATACCACAGTACTGTCAGTTTAAGAACTGCTGTCTGATTTACATACAGTAGTTCCTAGCACTTCATGCCTACACATTAAAAACAAGTTTGAGGAAATAGTGCATATGGCTCCCTAAAAAGATAACATTTTAAAAGAAAGACTGATTAGTCAGTTCTGATTTGTAATTGACATGGGCTGTAGAAAGATCAAGCTGTTTAGATCTTCTCCAATACCATTACCTCTGGCACATGGGAAAGCAAGACACATCCAGATGAGACCTGCAAGCCTCCTTGACTACTGAGGGAATGTCATACTGATATAATTCGATGACTGTAGCAGAACCTCTTGGAAGAGTATTACATATTAATTGACATATTATTCAGAAGAGATGCAAGCAGCTCTGCAAGATAGAGATCAGGGCAGCATGCTGTCTTTCCCAGGTCTGCCTCATTACCCCAGCTCCCAAGGTAAGGGAAACACTAACACTGCAACACTAACACACTTGCTCTGCATTTCCTTGTCTTTCCAGCTTACATCTGGAAATTAACACTGTCATTTGACAGCATAGTAAGAAGCACAAGGCAGATGAGATAAATTTTTTTTTCTAATCTTAAGTGTTGTAATAGCATTCCTCCTTCTCTATTTTCATACTGTCCTTTTGCAGCATTACTTATACAATCACCATTCCTTAAAAAAAAAAAAAAAAAAGCTTTTCACAGCCCAGCTCCAGTGTAGCACTCCCACTGCCCCCAGAAAAACCCTGGTGTAGCAACTAGAGCTGCCTCCCCGATCAGCATCATGTTTACCTTAGCTCTCAAGAATGATCCAAGCTGTGACTGGGAATCAGTATAACCTTCTACATTTCCCAAGTTTTTCATTCCCAAAAATCCCAATGTTAAACTCACATTCCAGAAGAGTATGAAGGTCAGAAAGAATTGCCAAGCATCTGCAGACCTAAGCACACATTAAAGGTCCCTCCATGCACAAGTAACAATGGATGCAATTGGCTCTGAGACCAAGGGATTCAAACTACACATTGACCTGCAACTAACGTGCACCACCATTATATGCCTGTCTAGACTTCACCAAATGATGTATCCTCTAACACTTCAATACTGCCTACCACCTGAAACAATTTCCCTTGCAGTAATAGTTTCTTATCCTAAGTCTTCAAAAATTCAAGGATTTGATTGCTAAAACAGAATAACCCCAAACCCAAGTATCACATCTGATTACTCTGAAGAGTAGCTAAATATCTCAAAACATATTAAAAAAGTTTCATGCCCAAGTCTGAAAAAAAGTTGTTCACTTTGGCTTAGTGAACTGACATGTTCATGCCTTGCTACACACAGAACATGTGTAGCAAGGCAGTTTACACACTGTTTTTCCTCCCAGGCCCCTTCCCAAGAATATATAGAGCAAAGAGACTCATCAACATTTGGTGGTGTTCTTGCTTTAAATTTGATGTTACTCAGCTCTGTATTGCACCTGAATTGTCTCACTTAATTAGAACAGCATTCCTATTCAGTACCTTGGCCTCAACAAAACATCAAGCTCACTAACTCTGCTTTAATCTTCAACATAAATAATGAATATTTTAGCCAGAAACAGCAGGAAATGACCAGTGCTTTCTTGCCTTCTAACTTGAAAGCCAGATATTCATTACAGAAATGTATGAAGTCCTATAAAACAAAGCTGGCTTAACTTTTTAAATATCTACTTTTATGTATAAACATACACAGAATTACATCATCTGAAGGTCTAAAAACTGAAAGAAAACAAGTTACCATGGAAACAGGAGATGAAAACAGTGTGACCAGGTTAAGTGAATTCAAGTATTTCACTTTCACTACAATATCCAACACTGAAATACTAGGTTAACTTGATGCAATAAGGATTTTTATAGCAAAGTATTTGTTCAACAAGCCAAATGTTTTCAGCATTTTTCTGGAAAACTGGCTAAAGGATAATCAAGGAGACAATGCCCAGGATGCTCTTTGGGTCACAGAACAAGGTGCTATTTAAGACTCCAAATGACCATTAAAGTGCCTACAAACCAGGCAGAAGCTCACAAAGTGACAGCATGCCCAATCCAGAGGGGGGAAAAAGGGTGGCCCCCAGCCCTTGTGCTGATCTCTCAACTCCCCAGGCACAGTCACTCAGATGGGCAGGCAGAGGCCTCCAGACCTAAACCATTTCAAGCAAAGTGTACAAAAAGCACTCTCCAAATCATGTGATTTAATGAGAGGCACAGTGACTGGCTGAAAAAGCTCTTGTCTCTCCCTAGAAAACTAAAGAACAAGCATAGGGTCTCCTACAGGTATCCAAGCTCAGCATCCAAAGTTCAACCCACATGGAAATTAAACCATGGATATAATTTTCCAGCAGCTCCAAATGTACA